TGGAGACTTGGAGTGAATTTAATTTGCTAGCTATTATTCTTATTCTTCTAATTTTTATTCTTTTTCTTTTCCCCTCCCTATGATAGGTACGTGCAGTGCACGGGATTAGTGACGCTTTTCACATCAATTCCCACGCACAGGCCAAAACATCATTGCTTATGAGCCTAACTGCAAGCCTTTGGAGATCGACTTGGAGTGAAGTTCAAGTGTTGCTTAATTATGTAGCTATAAGCCTATAACTCCCTCCAATTCTTTTACTTGTGGTTTTATGGTTTGATGAATCTTTTTAAATACATGTTGTTTTCACAAATCAATGCACATTTAACCTATTTTTACCAAAATTACCTTTATATTGGAAATGTAATAGTATACATAATGAATTTTTATTGATTTGTGATAAGTTATTTGGACAATAAATAATGGTATTTTTATATTTTAATTACATGAGTTAATTTAATTTTGATAAATTCTCTAGAAAGACATATTAAAAAGAATAGAGATAGTAATTAATTACTTCTAATCCAATCTCGTAATTTCAGTCGTTTGCGACTTTGAGGAAGCCGTTTCATGCTAATTGCCACACCCAATCATTTTTGCTCTTTTCCCCTTTACTTTCACTAGGCAATGAAGTTAATTTTGTTAGTTACCAACTTTTGTTAATCATTTGATGGTCGAGAATGATATTCTTCAAATTTTTGAAAGGATATTCTTCCTGAGGAGAGATATCCATTTTTTTTCCTCAAAGCTACCGAATCCTATCAATAACACTAAAGCTAAAAAGTAACTTTTAAAAAAAAAACAATAGTAGAAGAGGATAAATGCTTGGATGAATCAAACAACTGCATTACAAATTAAAGTATATGGAAGTGTCACAAATTAAATTCCTTAGAATCCGAGTACATTAGAGACAATATCAAGTAAAGCAACATGTTCTTGCCAACCGTCGCAGAATATACGACTCATGCTCCTTTAGGTTCTTTAAATTCTGTGAGCGGTGTAGCTACTGAGCTTAACGCAGCTAATAATGTCTCTCCTAGAAGTTGGTTAGCTACCTTTCCGTTCATTCTATAGTTCTTTTTCTTCGTAAAAGATTCCATGGACGAAAAACAGAACAGAATTTGGAAAGAATTTTGTTATTGAACTAACTGATGGTTACAGCGTGATAAGCAAGCTTTATACACTAAATAAACCTAACACAAACCTGGAACTGACATGCCATGCACCATTATACTTATTATAACACCCTGATTGGTCATGATTAAATGTTGTTCCCTCTCATCGAAAAGACATAACAAGGAATTCAGATAGCACGATTTACTGCCACTCGACTTGTATAAATATACTTAGCAAACAAGTGTGGCACGAGAATTAACACCGAGAGTTGGATTGATGAGTCTCTAATTAATACATATAAGTGACTTTTTACGAGTTCTTATATCGTGCACATGATTCACCATATATGGTGCACTGTCTAATTAATGAAAGTTATTTAAGGAATAAATTTATTAATTAAAATATTACTAGTATTAAATTAATCAATTCTCTTTCCATATTTAATATCATATATCATATATTCAAACCAATTACGTTATTAGAAAAAAAAATTAAAAAGGAAGAAATATTATTTATTAATATACTTCTATTCATACAAAAAAACTAAAGGTTCATAATCATACAATGTAAAATTCATGAATGATAAACATATTTTTCATATCAAATATATAAAAAATCCATATCTTTTAATTAAAAAATTGTACACATAATTATAAATTAAAGGTTGTAATATTTTTAATCTTCTATTCATACATACAACTTAACTATTCATGAAGATTATGCTAAATGTTCATACAAATTAAAGAAATTTTAAAAGATTAATCATATGTACAATAAATGTTCATACTCTTTTAATGAAATATTCACGAATAACAATGATACTTTTCATATCATATCATGTGTATCCAAAATTCACAATTTTTTTAGAGAATTGAAAGACTAATGCAAATAAGCAGTCTATATTCATACCCATATAAAATAATATTCATGAGAATTATGTAAATTTTCATACAAAGAACATAAAAATATTAATTAAATATTGAGAAATCCTTATATTTATAGTTCGTACTCATTCTATGAAAAATTTATGAGTTAGTAATATTTTTCATGACATATATGTCAAAATTTCATGATTTTTTATTAAATTTAAATTGTTCCTAATTTTTCAAACTATGTAAGTAATTATGAATAATGGTAAGAGTCAGTAATTATGAATAGAAGAGAAAGTTACAAAATTATTAGAATATTATTTCTGTTATATTTGAAAGTATGACATGAGAAATTAAATGATGAAAGAGAATGAATTGATTTATTAAATTTTTCTTATTTTTTCATTTCATAATTAGATTGTATTAATGAGACAAGTGTATCATATATGGTACATATGATTTACCATATAAATTGCCACCTTTTATATAAGTAAGACAATTCGACGGAAAGATATTTATGGCTTTACTAAAGAAGTCAATACTTGTAGAAGAGTTTTTCAGTATACATTACGACGTAACCAATCATTCTCCTATATCTAACATATTCCCTCTATCCTGAAATCATTGTATGAAAATCCAAAGTAGATAATGACTTTGGCACAACAAGAGTATTAAAGAAAAATCCAAATTGTACAATGATTTCGGGACAGAAGAAATATCATTTGTCGCGTCCAATTACATGCATTACTCCCGCAACTGCCTTTGCACACACTTAAGTTTTGAATTTCTTTTAGACACTAAAGACTAACTCAAGAACTCAGACACTCATTAGAGTCGCATGAAATATGTACAACCAAACCTAATAGTTCTTGATACATACGAGCCAAAGAGAATACAAGTTTGGTCACAAATGACACATTAAGGGCCTGTGGCTAAAAAAAATATATTTATCTCCCCCAACAACTTTTTTTTTTCCTTCTCTCTTTTGGTTGGGTATATTATTTCCTCAAATTTGTAAGTATACACATCCTAGGGAAAGGGCAAAAGTAATTTCAAATGCCTACTATTCTCTCCTTTCTGAATTATAAGTCGCTGGAGGATTTTCACTTAGTTTAAAGAAAGATATTAAAAGACAAAATAACCCTTATTTAATTAAACAAAACTCTAATCCCAAAATCTAACTTAAACTCAACTATCTCGTTGGAACTAGGACTTCGGAGAGACGGGGATCAAAATTCCCATGGAGTGAAGCAAACCATCCAAACTTCTTCCATTAAAACTGATGCTTCAACATCCAAAAAAATTGGCGGCATCTTTTTGTGGGAATTTTTAACGAGGGAGGACATAATGCATCCAATCTTTATTCAACAAGACAATACAAGGATACATATATATCCTAATGATGCTGATTTTTGTGAAGAGCAAGACAAGACGGATTTGATATTCGGATCATCTGTCAACCTGCAAACTCTCCAAATTTGAATATTTTGGACCTTGGATTTTTTGCTGCAATCCAGGCCTTAAAAAACAAGAAGTCTCTTAGGACAGTGGATGAGCTTATTAATGCAGTTTATGAGACATTTGAGGAATTTTGTGTTGTGAAATCAAATCGTATATTTGTAACATTGCAGTTGGTTATGATTGAAGTCATGAAGGTAGAAGGTGTTCATAAACGTAATCTCCCACATATTCACAAAGCAAAGCTAGAAAGACTTGGCATGCTTCATGTTCAAGTGAGTTGTGATGCTGCTTTAGTTTGGCATGCTTCATGTTCAAGTGAGTTGTGATGCTGCTTTAGTTGCAAGAGTTAGGCAAATTTTAAGTCAAGATTAGTTTTTATTTTGTTGTTAAGTCAGACTCTCTATTTTAAGTCAAAATTTGAAGTCATTCTCTATTTTGTTTGGTTCCTATATTGAATGCAACCTTAGTGCGATTATATTATTGTTTGGCTCCCTAGCATTCTCGATTTTTCTTTGTTTTGCATTCTCTATTTTTATGTTTTTTAGATGTCTTTCATTAGCGCGATCGTTTTATATTTTTCAATTGCAAAGAAATGATGGAATTCATAATAGCAATGATGTATTTGCACAAAATTGCGAGGTAATGCAAACTTAAAATTCAATAAGTTGCACTAATTTGGACAGATACACTATGATGCTATTGCTACAAAAGTCAGCCATTTGCTATTGTTGCTACAAAATTGTACAGAAAGCCATTCAAAATCTACAACATCTACTTAAGTCCAGTAGCAAATGTACAATCACTTTTTCCACCAACTCAGAATCCTATCGAATCTGAACTCCAAGCTATCTTCCTCTCCTCACCGGAAAACTCACAACCATCGAATTGAATTGCTTGTTTTGCGGCAAAAGTTGAGGGGTTTTTTCACTCTTTCCGTGATGACCTCATTTTTAGTGATATTTCACAACTTTGGGTTCAGATTCAGGGCAAATCGGACCATTAGACTTTGCTATTCATTTCTTGATTTATTGCTGCAATATCAGGATTTCCAGCAAAGAGTAACCACTTTCATCTCATATTTTTTGCCAATTTTCAGTTGAAATTTGGAGTCAACTTCAAGAAGTGAATTCTAGCTCGTTCTTTCTTCTTCGCAACCATATAAAGAGCTTACAATTCCGAGAAACGGATATCAAGTTATACCTCTGAAACAGTGTTGATCGTTGCTGAAGTTTTTGGGCAATCGTGGTTCAGTTCTGATGACAGCAATTCAAATGCAGTTTTGGCCACTTTATGTTCTGATTTTGGAGATGTGCTTCACATGAAAGTTGTACCTCTCAATCTCAGCTTCGCAATGATATCAAAAACACCTTAATCAGAGCTGTGGATCTCTAGATACGGCTTTCCAAACTGGGCTGTATAATCGATATGGTATCATTTCTTTTCGAAGAACGAAGACAATTAGATCAGCTATTAACAAAGCCTACCACGGAATCATTCATATAATATTGTTGTACAACGTTATCACTTCGAAACCTAAGCAAGTAAAAGGCTCTTTTGATGGAGTCCAAGGAAGGAAAACTAAAGCCATCTAATCTTGAAGTAAAGCCATCCAGTGCAGTGAAGGAAGGAACTAAATTGGAGATTAAAATATACTCGTTGGCCCATGAAGTTCCTCCGTCTTCCAATGGTATGTCAAAGCTCAGAGTGCCGGCACATGGAACAGGGGTTTTAGAGCTAAACAAGAACATTAGTGAGGAGAAGAGATCCCTTGTCAAGACCAATGAATCAGAAGCTGAAAATAGTACTGATGTTGTAGCTTTACAGTCTCCTCTGGCACCACCATTACCAAAATCACCTTCTGAATCTTGGCTTGGCGAATTTCCACTTGCGTATTCCTTTTTCACCATCACACAACGGGAAGAACTTTCACATCAAGAAGGATCAGAAGGCTTCTGCTCCTGGTACGAAGTGGGAGACCACAGCACCAAGAAGCCATTTCAATGTGAAAATCATTCGAATATATTTAAATTGACAGAGCATACACAAACTTGAATTTTTGAGGCAAAAGAACTTGGGGGCAAACACAAACCCCAGGCAAGAAATTATAAATAAATTGACCAGGAAAGCCATAAACACTTAATGATCCAGAAAGGAAAGGAAAAAAAAAACATCTCAAGAAAGTATAACCTTGTCCATTAAATTGTCAACAAAAGCAACCGATCATTAAATAATACAACCAATCCAAATTTCTGATCAACTAAGACAACCCACGTTGCATACTAATCTTTATATAGCATCGAGCAAATAAATTTTCAAAATAACTCTCATGGTTTCTTCGGCGAGTTTTAACCCTCTGATATGATCTCGAATTATTTGTTCTTGAAGGCTGACCTTTTGCTCCTCCATCTCTTCCTGTTGCACAGAGACGGCTGTAGAATTGACCAATTAAAAATTTCCACCTGATCTTTTATTTCCCTCCATATTGTAATTTTAGGTAGTTGAATTCAATATTCTTGAAAATTGGAAAAGAGATTGGATGAGAAGAGGAAGAAGGAGGTGTTCCTTGAAGAAATACAATTACGGTGAAAGGGTGATGAGAAACTCTTGGAAATGACTACGGCATTAACTATATACAGCTGCTTCACCTGAGGGTAATATTAGAAAAAATAGGTAAAATATACATGGATATGTGAGAACGATGTATAATTAGGAAAATTTGGGATTTCCTTTAATGACCTATTCCCTCAATTTTGAAATATATGTCATTTTAGGATTTTGTAAATTTTTTTAAATATATGTCGTTTTCACAAATCGAGACATATTTGACCACTTTTTATCAAAATTGCCCTTACATCGGAAATGAAACAATATTAATAATAATTTTCTATTAGTTTTTGATGGATTTTCTTCCGATGGTTGTATTTAAATGTCCGGGAGGAACGAAACAAAAAGCATTTTGATAACATGGAAAGGAGGCTTGTGGACATTTTGTGAGTGATACAAAGGGAGCTCAAATCCAGGTTCATTCTATGGCAAAGACGTAAAGTCACAGGGACAGGTGAAAGGTTGCTGCATCAGTTTTTCTCAGAAGTGCCTCTTTAAACAAAACATGTATAGATGATGTAAAGTTAAAGTTACCTTTTGAATGTTGATGTAACATAGGGGCAGCTGTAGAAAAGGTTGTGGTGATTTGTGATCCACATTCTTTCTTTTATACGATTAAACCTCAATTAAACTTCTTTATATGATCAATAAGTAGTTCGCATTCCTTATTTGCAATGGTGTACTGTACATTGAGTATTCACTTTTAACCTCTTACGACAATTTCAAGTTGAAGCTCAATTATATTTAGCATTAGTTTAAACATCTCAGCTTTATTTTGAACCCCATTGACCTCAACTGAAACATATTACTAAAGCTTTACTGTTATTTTAGTTTAGCCAGATTGAGTTCAACTTTGAACACCAACTTACAAAATTAGATTGAAAATGCATGTCATTTATAACTTGGCAAAATTTCGAGGTCACCACTACACATGAATATACCATGCAAAAAATGCTTAAACATCATAACCTCGAAGGCATATGGAGATGCCAAATTTTTTACCACAAACATAAGTATAATTAGGGATTCTAATACATTTACAACTAATAGAACTTGATTACTGAAGTTGTGAAGGTGAATCTTGGAATAACATGGCATTGGATAGTAACTCTCGGAATGACATTGTCTCCGTCACTTCACCAAGCTACCAAAAAAAAAAAAAAAAAGAACAATTACAATGTTAGCCTAAAACATGAGATGTAGTATCACATATCATCTCAAAAAGTACACAAAATAAAGACGTCAAAACCTCAAAATATTTGAAAACTTACATGCAAACCATCTGGAAAACTATTTAAACCTTGTAACGTTGAAACATTCAAACTCAGAATCTCTTTCTTTCCTTATCATTTTCTTCAAACAATTATCATATTGCTCAACAAATTGCTTCAGTGTTGTTTTTGAATTAATGTAACCATCAAAAAAAGCATTCATACTTTCACTTCTTTGACATATACTAGTATCCATCTACTACGATCCATATACAAGCCACTCAACCATTCATTACTCTCTAAATTAAATTCCATGATCATCTTTTGCCAGCTTTCTTCAGATGCACCAATGGTTAGAGAGTTATAAACAATATTCTTGAATTGTTTCTTAATCATCTTGTACTGAGTGTAACGGCTCAATTTTGCTGGAATTTTATTCATGATAGGCCAAAGACAAAAACGATGATGAGAATTCGGAAATACCTCTTGAATTGCAATTCGCATAGCTGCACACTGGTCTGTAATGATAGCCTTTGGGGTACGCCCACCCATACATTTTAACCATGACCTGAACAACCAAATGAATGCATCTTGATCCTCACTTGATATCAATCCACATCCAAGCAAGATAGATTGACCATGATGATTTACTCCAACAAATGGAGCAAAAGGCATATTATAACAATTAGTCAGATATGTAGTTCACATCAAAAAAGTAATCATATGCAGCTCTACATCTACCATCTGACCAAGAAATATTTCGTATGCGAGAATTTCTATCTAAATCTATCAAATGAAAAAAAAAATCAGAGTTACTTTTGCATGTTACAAAAGTAATTACTCAAGGCTTCGGAATCTCCAGTCCCTAGTCTCAACCTTCTGGCCTCTGACACATAGTTCCTACACTTTCTCTCATCAAATGGCAAATTCTCATCGCCACTATGTTCCACAACAAATAATTCAAAAGTTTTGCACACAGGTATTCCAGCTTGATCATTCAACTCTAACCTTTTTTTAACAGAAGAATCCAAAACTTTATTATTATTGAAATAACGTGACTTTCCAGAACTCAATGTATGATTATGCTCAAGGTAAACACGACTTATCACAAAACTCCCATCAATTTGATGAACAATATTTATCTTAGTTTTGCAATTTGTCTTTGTTGAACCACGGGGAAGCAAGACATTTTTTGCTCGAGACACTGTGATACGACTTTTGGCACATCCAATTGAGAAATACTTTTGCTTTCCATCATCCCCGTTTTTTCCTCCTAATTTGGATATGCCAAAACCAACACTTTGTGCGTATATGTTATAGAAATGACGAACTTCTTCTTCAGATGAAAAGTACATTCCAACTTTTGGCACTTTTACCTCTTCTGGACTTGAAGGATCTTCATCCATATTGTTCTCATTATTACATTCAACTCCACTGGCATTAATTTCTCCTTGTTCCATATATGTCTATTTTTCCTGCAATCAAAATGTCAAAAAAAAATTCTCATATAGTGTCGACCAAAATTGAAAATAAGGATGCAATTACCTAAAAGTCACGACAAACAATTCAAAAAAGTATAAAAACCAAAAAAAAGAAGAAGAAAAGATTAAAAGTTCTATGCCCAGTTACTGATCTGTCCTAGCACTCTCCCTCTGTACGCATGTTGCAGTGAAACCAATACATTTGGTTTGCTCTTTTGTTCTACATAATTGCTTCGCTTTTTTTTTCCCGAAGAAAATCACAAACCTACTATTAAAAATTTGGGAAAAATAACAAAGTAATCAATTACATCCTTCGAAAACTCTATTTTCCTCCTATGTTGTACCCAAAAAAAAAAAAAAAAAAACCCCCAATAGTTGAGAGCTTGCAAAAGTTAAATAAATTAATCGATTGCATCCCAAAAGATAAAAAAAAATTCGAACTACCAATAAAGAAGAAGAGAGAAATGCTTGATTTCGTGTCTTAACAATCTTGTCGAATTGATAAAGTTGAAGGCTTTAATTGAACGTGGTTGGCTAGAACTTCATACCGGCGACGATGACGGGTTCGGATTAATAGATTTGACGGAGAGGCCACACCGACGATTGGTTTGACGGGGAGGAGATCATGGACTGTACAACTCATTGTACAGTCCATGGCCGATTGGTTTGACGGATTAATAGATTTGTCGGATTAATAGAAGAAGTCGCTCTTTATCGGTGTTTCTTTTATTTTATTTTTTTCCAAAATTTATTTACACATCAAAAAGAAAAAAAAAAGATGCTGACTGGACTGTACAACTCATTCGCGTTGCAAGTTCGAGTTCTTAATTCGAGCTGCCTATCACTACTCTAAAAAAAAATGGAGGGAGTATAATTCAGAAAGGAGGGAGTAAATGCTAGTAGGTTCAATATGGTATATTCGTAACAATATTTGACTAGTACTGTTATCTTGCCCTTGAATATACATCTGGAAAATCCTTGTTCTACATTTCCTATTTGTTTGTCTCTTTTGGAGATTAATCAACAGCTAAACTAATTTCACGTTATCCAAGGTCATACGTTAATGGACATTTTTAGTTCACGAGTTAATGAGGTCAACCAAAGATAGTTACATCTTCATGTCTGACACATTTAGTATGGAACATGAGTTCATGCTGGTCAACATATCCAATTAATTGATTACATTTGGTTGTTTTTCCAATTAATTAATTTAAGCATGATAACTTCATCTAATGTGTAAGATTACGTTAATCCCTCAATTCCTACTCATCATCCTTGATCCTCCCTCCTATATAAAGGCCCGGAGCTGGTACCTTCATTTTCAAACATGCCACAATCAGCATCTCGCGCTTAATTGATTAAGGCAATCAATTCTTAATTTCTCCCTATACATTTCACTGCAATCTTTTTTTCTTTTTCTTTTTCTTTCACACAATAAGAATGGTATACAATCTCGGTGAAGCCCTACCGGGGGAGCTCATGGTGGAGATTCTGTCAAGGATCAAAATCAAAAATTTGTCGAGACTCAAGTGCGTTTCCAAGTCATGGAACCGCCTGATTAGTCAAGACGCTTCATTCCATATGATGCATCGGGAGAAGTCCATCCACAAGAGCCATTTCCTAAATCTCGTACACTGGGCCGACAATCCTGATGATGAAGCGAATCCAACGTTGGGATTCGCGTACGCTGATATGGAGGATGAAGGTACTGTTTTTAGGGTTAACTCCGTCTTTTCCTTGCCATGTCTTCTTATGGCAAGTTTTCCACCCGTTTGCTGCGACTTATTCTGCTTCGCAACCGGGTGGAATGTTTATGTGTGTAATCCAACCATGAAAGATGTTCATGTTCTGCCTAAGTCACCTTCTACTCATGGACCATCCAACTTTGTTGTGGACCACGTCATCGGTTTCGGGTACGTTGTTTCCAGAAAAGAATATGTTGTGGTCAACATGACTCGTAAAATCATCGTCCCAAATCAGAAAGATGATCATCAACAACAACAGCGAGCAACCGGAGAAATCTCAACCGAGATGTACATTTTCGGCCCACAAAGTACTGATCCGGCCCGTTCGCGTTGGAGGATTACAAAGCATGAATCTCCACGGTGGGTGAAACACGCTGGTGGATTCGTGGTTGGGGAAAACATGTACTGGTTGATTACTAACAACGATATCATAGGCTATGAAGATTATTCCTTATTTGACAATTTTATAAGAAGAGGAAATGAGCTGGTTCTTTGTATGGATATCAAATCTGAGAAGTTTGATATCATTCCTCCTCCTCCGGGTTGGGAAATCGAAACTGACAACATGAAGGATGATTGGATTAGGCTGGTGGATATCAAAGGTACATTGTGTGTGACAGATTGGAGTGTTTTGATGAAGGATTCAGTTTTGGAATTCTGGGCTCTTAAGGGGGGGCCAAGGGATTGTTGGGTGAAGGAAATCAGCATCGACATGGAGATTGGATTTCCAGGCGTGGAATTGAATAGCAGAGTTATGTTCTTCAAGTCATCCAAGGAAGGAGATATAGTGATGTGTTCAAGTGTTCCCAATAAGTTCTACATCTTCAACGTGGACAAAGGAAGACTGGTTAGGGTAACTGATGGCTTTTTCGATGAGGATTCAACTCTGTTATTGGGTTTCTGCTGGGAAAGCTTCTACACCCTTTGAAGATCGTATGGCATCGAGATTAATTTCTCCAGTTGTTCTTGCTGCTTTGTTGTTCTTAATTACAATTTTCATTTAATTATTGTTGTTTTTTTTATTTGATTTAATTTCAGTGGATTTTGGAGAATTTATCTGTTGGAAATGAAATGTTTTAGTTATGATTATGATTATTGTAGCCTTTTCTGACCTCCAAATTGCTTATTGATTGAACGTAAATCCGGATGAATGGTTATTTATTCAATTTTATATTTCACATTACGAACTCCATGAATTAGTAAATTTTTGTGTGGAGAGAAATGATGCAATGCATGATATATATTTTTGTTTTTAAAAAAGAAATCGTGTTAATTAGATCGAGGCATTGAACATCTGATACTATAAATTGCAGATGTATAAGGAAGTAATTAAAACAGTGATTATTCATAAATAATTCAATACATCAATGGAAAATCATTACAAATTTGCAAAACATTAACATCCGTGATTGTTGTTAATTACAAGTTAATCTTTGAAAATTTCAGTACCAAGATCCAAATGCTACGTTGAGTTCATTCTTTTTTTTTTTTTTTTTTTGGAAAGCAACTTGCATTTCATTCATCCAACTCATTTACATTGTCTGTTTGTACATCACTTACAGCAGCTAATTGGACATCCCCTGGAAAATTATCACACCACAAAATACTACCATTCAGATCTAAAGCCAATTTAATTTGGCTGTTATATGAGTTACTCTATTACAAGTCTGTTTTACATAATTAAATTCGATTTGAGCATACTTTTTTTGCCAAACTTCTAATCCTCGATAATATGACCAGTCATTGAGAGATCTTTGTCCTCCTTCAAAATCTTATGAACAATATTTATAGCATCCCCCTCAACAATGCAGTGAGTTATTCTCTGGTCATGTGCAAAATCCAATGCTTTAAAAAAAGCCAGACACTCGGCATGTTCGGCATCAGCAACTTGGCTCACAGGTTCAGCCACCCTTTATCATTTCTTACAACTATCCCAACTCCTCCCTTATCATCTTTATATGAAGCATCAACGTTTAATTTCAAAACATTGGGTGGCGGAGGATTCCAAGTTGGTCCTTGCACTTCCTTCAGCTCATCCCAGGTTTCATTATACAGCTTAATTATACTCTTTTACAATCTCCTCTGGCCTTAAAAAGCCAAAAGAAAAAACAAAATTATTTCTGACAAGGTAGAGAATTATGAGCAGCCCCTGCAATATTTCCCTTGCACTATAGTAATAGTACTAATTAATGAATATTTCTTTCTGAAGTCTTGTAATTTATGCATTCATTCAGTTGTATGGGTATTATACCATTTATTGAAAGTTAATATGTGAGTATTTATGGTACTACAAATGTCAGCTCATCGAGAAATTAAAATGTTACGTGAATGACAAGGTAACTCTCTCGTTATTACACTACGTACTTTGTCTCAGAAAAATGGCATGTGTTGGGGTTTTCAAATTTTTGTTAAAATTACTACAAATCTAAAACTCAATGTGAGTTATTTTTCTGAAAAAAAAACTAGTGATACTTGTCCGTTCATAGAAGAACTCTTACCTTTTTTTTTTTTTTTTTGGGAAATGATACATGTTATCATATATTATGGATACCTATACTCTTACGTTTAGCAAGTTGATAAGCTATATTATGCATTTTTAACACTTTTCCCTAAGCACTTTAACTATTTTGCATGTACGTAATAAAACTCTTTAAGATCCTAGTTATCTCAGCAATTATTTCCTGCATTTTAACTGGCGGCGAATCAGAAATTAAGGGATTTGCTAAGAATTCACAATCTCTATGAACTAGAATGCGTTGAAGATCCAAAGCTCAGCTTCCTGTAAAGCAAGAAGCAAAAGAACTCTTGGTGTAATAATATATATAGTACAACACGACTATACTCAATGTACTTTTTCTCAAGACCAAATGAGCTTTGTTAATTTGGTGATGTGCTAAATGGTAAATTACTTTTTTTTTTTGGTCGCAAAAAGGGAAGTGTATAGCTGCACTTAAACAATAACACGTACGCGGTAACCAACCCTTACAATATCGTGGTTAATCAATCCTATCGCCTCTAGAGGCGGCGAATCCAGTCGCGTTAATCCTCCCGAATTTGTTGCCGCCAGTGAGGCCAAAAAGTCAGCTACACATTACATTTTCCATGGGCATGGTTAATATTTTTAACCCAATTACGGGTCAAAGGCTTCCTAATTCCTCTTAACAAACCTAAGTGCGGGCACGGTGGTCTGTCAAAATGGGATACCATCCAGACCACGGCCTGATTGTCGACTTCCGCCTCCACCTCCCTGAATCCCAGGTCCCACGCGAAGCTCAGCCCCTGGTATAAATGGTAAATTACATTAATTGTCAACTGTATCAATTTCCACTGCCTGGTTCAGTGCACATTCTGCAGCATGCAAGTTTAAGAACTCATGATCTTATTCTATAGTACTACGTTCTACCTAAACTCCTGAAAAATCTCTCCCACTTAGATGGTACGACATGCTTGAAATCACTGTCCAATCTCCCCAGTTTAAAGTCTTGTACCATCTCGTACATGTTAGTGGATTAATTGTTTTACATCTTTCTGGTATCTTTCTAATTCCTAACCATGTACATATGTATATACATACGTGTTTCAGAATTGTTGATGAGAATATTCACTTGAAAGAAGAAATGCTGTGTGTCCAAATCAACTAATATATATATATATATATATATATATATATATGTTTGTAGTTATTTTATAATTGTCTTAACATTTTTACAAAAGAACGTATCTGAAGAAAAGAAAATGTTAGGAATACTCTCCCCGTTTTGTGAATTTTTTTTTTTTGGATAAATACACAAGCTAATATAAACCTTAGTTGTTAGACGCTATACATGCAGTTTCGCTAACTACTATTACGAAGGGACAACATCAAAAAAATATATAAATAAATAAGTTTTTTAAAATGATCTAGCGCCTCTTTAGCCAAAATATCACACATATTATTTTTCTTGTACAAAACTGTACTTTTTTTCTTGGTACAAAAAAAGAGGCGAAGTGCCTAAATAACTCAAACGATTACGTTATGTAGATATGAGACATTGATTATATCGTGCTCTAACCATGGTTTAATACTAAATGGTGGATCTATTAATCATTGATACCCTCCAGAACTCTCTGCTGCTAAAGATACTAAGTAATCAGCCATAAAATTAAATTTTCGATAGACATGATTTAACTCCACAACCCATGCCCTCCCTTGCAATTCTTTGATGGCCTTAATCAAAGTCCCATGTATGCCAATAACGTTTCCCTCCGACTTCGCCATCTTGACCACAGCTTCATTATCAACATCAACAACAATTTGTGTGCAACCTAGCTACAAACCCTGTAGCATGGTTACTTCGCTAGCCGTTTTGTGAATGCATGGTTCAAATTGAGTTGTGGCCTCAGTTTCATTTCAAAACTCAAAGCACATTGAGTGTCAAAAAGGATGTTTGGGGGAGGGGGGTGGGAGTACGTAATGGCATCAATTGCGTGTGAATACCTGAAACTAATTGTCCTAGCCATATGCTTCAGAGCATCGTTATATATTTATCGAGAACAATAAATACAAAGTTTGCCTCCTTCTATGTACTAAAAAGAATAAAAATAAAAAGTTTACTTGACTGGGGCTTGACATATATATCCTTGTTATTTAGTATATTCATTTACTTTTAGTCTTCGGAGGAAGGAATGATGATCCCGTGTTAATAGTAACAAATATAATCAGGATGTGGAAGAACCGCACAATTGTTATACCTTTACACAAACTACAACGACCAGTCAACTCCTTGCATCAATTTTTCCCTTATTTATATACTAATGGATTATTGTATTTATCACTTTTTTTTTCTCCTTTTTATGGGAGGTAAGAAAAATGAATTGAGCAGATGGTGGAGAAAACCCACAAAATATTTGGTGGCATAGTTAACAACATGCAGAACCCTTTTCCGCCATAGATGATCAAATGATGGTCCTCGGAGGGCTTTGTCGTCCTTGTTCTCTAATCAATATTATCATCGTCCTAAAAACCAAATATATAATAATTAGTCCAGCATTATGAATTACACCCTTAAATTCATAATTGCCTGGATCATCTACCCAGCCCTTCTCGCATTGTTCCTCACCATCCTCATTTTTACGGGCTATTATTTCATTTTAGGGATCAAATTGGGATTCGACAAACTTTTCCTTATTGTATGTGAAAGGTGGCATCTACGAGGAGGTGGTCATGGCCGGGGAAGGATGTCGCCTATATTCCCTGAACCGGCGGATGTCAATCTTCAAAACAAAGATGAAGAAGTGGCGGTGAAGGTCTTGGATATTCCGGCACCGGAAGAATACAAAAGGGATCGGAATAAATCAATTACAAGTTGTGCAATTTGCTTGGATGATTTGATGGATGGAGAGTTATGTCAAACTCTTCCTCAATGTAAACATACGTTCCATTCGCTTTGTATTAATCCTTGGGTTCTGCAGATGCAAACTTGCCCCATTTGTCGGCAATCTCTTCCAGTTGTTTGAGGAAATAAATAAATTGCATCCATGTTTTTGTTCCCATAACTAAATACTACATGAGTCAAATGCATTGTTCTTTCATCATATGATCAATAAATGGCCGCTTAATTAACTAGTTAATTAGGTCCTGGCCGTTAGGAAGTTTTTTCTATGAATTAATCGAAGCCATTTCGGGTTGATCATGATGTCCTAATTTTGTTTTGTCCCTCTACTTTTTGGCTCATTGAAAGCGGAAAGAAGCTGTAGCCATTCTACCCTAGGAAGACAATATTAATGCACGAATAGCAAGCTTTTTTTTTTCTTTTTTAGTAGGTCTAACTTTGAAGCATAAAACAATTAATGGATCTCTCAAGACAAACGCAAACCAGTTTAACCCCTTCAAACTGTTGACCAGAATGATCAATACAAGTATAAAAACCATTATTAGATCTTCAGGATGATGTCCTAAATATTTTTGCCATTCCTCCTGGGAAATGAAACTTGGTCTTTTGATTAGTATGTGTCTTTTGATTAGTACTTGCCATTCCTCCTATAATGTGTTTCCCAAGCTAGCCTCTCATCGAAGCTTTTAAGAAGAAAAATAACTCGGAATTGATGGCTTCATTTAGAGTCTTAGCTATAGATATTCGCTATATTTGCATGATGTTTTCAGGAATTACAATATTCCATGTCAACTAAAAAGATCTCAACACAAAAGTAGAAGAGTTCAAACCACAAAGGCACAGAGCAAAGTTCCTTTGACTTTGAGGTTCATCACTGTATGTACGACTTGAATCACAAAATGTATATGGCCTTTAGATTTTTGTTTAAAGATATATTTATATCAATAATATAACAGAGACCATGAATTTGGGGCCTTAAACTCTAAGGGGGCCTAAAACGGATGTTCTCATGGCTTTATAGTTGAGCCGCCACTGCTTTCATACTAACTTCACTGATTAATATTGAGAAGTGGGTTTTTTCTGCTTAATAGAAAAAAAAGGTCTGTTTTTTATCACTTGAATGAGAACACATATACAGTAGAACTTCTATAAATTAATAGTATTGGGATCACCAAATTTTATTAATTTAGTAAATTATTAATTTATCGATAAATTAATAAATTATTAATTTAAAGATTTTTTTCTTTATAAACTCTAATATTATACATAATTGTCCGTCGTTTCTTTACAATCCTAAACAAGTTAGGAATGTAACTCTTTTTAATAATAAACTCAAACCTAATAAGATCAACGTCAATTAGTTGGTGGATTATTCAGGTGAAAATGATGAATTTACAGAGGTCAAATCATTTGAGGATATTGTAGCTAGTGTCCTTGAAGATAATTCAACTGAGGATGAAAGTGATGATGATTCAGTGCCTTTGGTACCAGTCACACGAAAAGAAGCATTCAAATCAGTAATAACTTTTCAGAATTTCTTATTGTAATTAGAGAATACAACACCAGAACTCTAAAGGGCAATGAGACAAATCAAGGATGAAATTTCATTTGATTTGAATTTCAAGAAAAAAACAAGAATCAATAAGATCATATTTTACTAAATCTCCCTAGATATTAGTTTTTTTTTTATATATTTAATGTATTTATTAATTTACAGTATTGTTGGGACCTATAAATATATAAGGGATTTTCTGAAGTACTATTATCTTATCATTTTATCGATTTTTGTTATTTTTTGTACTGGTCCTAAGTTGGGACCGAAGAAAATTATTAATTGATAGAAATTATTAATTTATCAATTATTAATTTACTGACGTTCTACTGTACTCCTAACCCTAAAAAAAGTAAAAATTGAGTCGTTAGTTTTTTTCAATTGTCACGCAAAGTCACCAAAATGCAGCGGAAAAGAAAAAGTAAAAATCTTTTATGAATGTGGTTATCTAGGACCAAATTAAATGAGTGAAAAAAATGTAAAAGATCAATCTACCACGTTTAATTTCCTTATTAATTTCAGCAATTTTCTTTTCTTTCCCCTAGATTTGATTTCTTTTCGTATAATATAAGAGACTAAAGACTATAACAAAGAACTTAAAATGTTACTTGGGTAAAAAATACAAATACCATCGTCTTTGAGTAAGGACGTACACTAGATTATAAAATATATCAAAACACGATCATCCCAGTACGGGCACCTAGGATGTCCTTTTCAGTTTTTGATTAGAGTCCATACGTTACAACACTTTACTTATAATTATTCATCTTACTTTAACTTTTTTCTATTATAAACCCTAACTTAATTAGAAGCCCTGAAAGAAATCCTATAACTCCGTTCCTATTATTATAGAGCCGATATTCATGATAAAAACCTAGTAAACATACCCATCCCAAATTAACCCTTCTACATCGAGCATTCCAGATGATCGATCAAAGGTTCCATTCGGATTTACTTTGACCCAATTTAACGGTTGTGACTTGTGAGTTGTGATACCATCTTATCATATGGATTTCACGTATGAATCCTGTTTCCAAGCTTCTTATCAACCCCTTTGTACAACATGAAAAATGAGGGATTCCCTACCATATGATCACTACTTTCTTCATTCACGAACAAAGCAATATTCATAAACGCTTGGTACTATAGAAGACGATTACATGGCAATTAATCAATATTTGACATTAAAACAACTTTTTTTAAGAAATTAACGGTTATTGGAAATAGTAACAATTAACAACAGAAAAATATAGTAAAAAAAGTACACAATTTATATTAGGTCAAATCGACAATGTTAATTTACACTAATGAATATAAAAGTAAAATAGAATTATATAGATCTACCTCATAAAATAATAAGCATACTACGTGATAAGCTATCGCCCACATCATTATGAAAGCATCACTATATAACTTGAAGGAAACCTAATACAGAGAAAGAAGAACAAAGAAATTACGTTCTTTCTATTTTCAAATGAGCGTTCAATTTGAATTTTTATTTTTAATATAATTAGTATAAAAGTAAATATTGAAACTGAACACTCATTTCAACTGGAGTATTAACTATTCTTTTCTCTTTGAAAAAACATTGACATCGACACGGGCTTCGAAATCAATAGCAAACGTAACTTTACTTGTTTTCCTTGTTTCAAGTGAAAATTTTCCCGAACTCACGCTAAACCCTTTATTACTAATAGATTGTAATGAAATTAGTCCTCATGTCTCAAATATAATATTTCATTTGAATTTTTATTTATAATAAAATTTAAATTAAGAAATAAAAATTATGATTAGACAATTATTTCGGAAGAAGGGAATATTTTCTTTACCTGCCAATCATTCTTTTAACAGCAAATCCAAGTTCGTATCAGTAGTTTCTTCAAACTGCAAATTAAAAGGAAAAACTCTCCCAAATAAAAGCTCTAGTTTATTAAGCCAATGAAATGAAGCTTTCACCGTCAATCAAAAAGTACATGTGAATTATACGTAATTTCTTTTATTTATAGATAAACTTCTCTTCTATCAATTATAAATTACAAAATTTGTAAGATTTGATTTCCGCGTACTTTTATATTTTTCTGAAAGCTCTAGAAAAATTTCAGTAGCTGTCTTTTGCAATTTCATTGGCCCATTTCGGCGTCCAAAATGACCATTTAATCAACTATATTTATTAGGTTTTTGTATGTTATGATTTGTTCGTCGATACGTATCTAATGCATCCTTGGACCTTGAACTATTTCCTTAAAAGAACTAAAAAGGATAATAACATTCTTCACATGGAGAAATAGAGGCAATCAATGATAAATCTCAACGTTGTAATATTCAACGATTACTAGTGTTTTGACGGTAATACTCTTCTTCTTTTTTTATATATCGATGAAGCCATAAAGGTACGTGAAATTTGTGATTTGTTACGTTTTAAAGTGTAAATTTGAAGCATTTTTTTCCAAGTAATTAAGTTTGTGGCAATGTTGTGAGTATTTTCCATTTGACAAATCTATTAATTTAATAATAATACTTTAGGGTGTGTCATCTTTTCCCAAAAAAAGAAAAAATATCGAACAGCTATTACTTCCTTATTATGCATTCTGTATTTATGAACCCACTAAAATTAGCACAAAGGATATTTTGTTCTGGTAATTACGTCGTAATTTATTCTCAGCAGCCAATATATAAATTACGTAATAATAATTTTAATATATTTATCCATGTGACTCAGTCGAACTGCTTTCCCCAAAACACCCTCTGGATATCCCCCAGAATTACACCAAGTCACCGTTTGGTCCTTTCACTACCGGCTATACAGGTTATCGGTTTCCAAATTACCGGAAAAGTGAAGCACGAAATGACGAATTTGTCCTCGTCCTCTTCTTTTTAAGTTTTAACAATACCTCTCTCTGTGTGTTGCTTGCGCTCTTATAATACTCTCTCTTCTTCTTCTTCTCCTTTTTGTATATCCCTCCTCATCCCCCATAATAATATATAAACACACACACACACACACACACACAAAAACTACATAATAATATACGATACATATCATCATAATCCAATTTTTTTTACACACACAACACCAAAGAACACACTCTCAATGTATTGCTCTCTTTTCCCTCTCAGAAACCGCAGCTCAATTTAAACCTTTTTTTTTTTATTTTTTTTCTTTCTGTTTCCAGTTCAAATTAAATTTGTTTCCTTTTTGTAAATTTTCCCCATTCTTTATTTCGTAAATTCCATGTGTTGATGGAGAATTCTTCACAATAAGGATATTGTTTCTGTATTGCGGCGGAGTCAGAGGATCCTCTGTGTAAGAATTTTGAACTTCTAATCCAACGTTATTGCTGCAATGTTTTCCAATTATCGTGATTATGCTTTCCTTGAATTTGAAGTAATGCGAAGTTTTATTTTTCTTTGTTGAACAGAATTCTTTCGGCACGATTTGTCGACAATTCAAGTGTGATCTCTGTATAGGTATGGATTACGCTCAATTACGTTCTGCGGTTGTGTTTTTTACGTAATTTGGTAGATCTAATTGGTTGATGAGTGAGTGTGCCTCGTGTTTTTAGAATTGAATTTTGTTGCTTCTTTTTGTTTATTTATTTATGTTTATTTTTGCCTTGTGGTGTAGGAATTCAATCTTTGTTTTCAATTGGAGTGAATAAAGGATGATTCTTTGAAGAATAGGATAGTTAATAAAGGGAGCGAGATGAGGAGGTCCAGAGATGATGCGCATATAAGCTCTCAACTTAAGAGACCCGTGATGTCTTCTCGGGCTGAACCGTAAGATGTAGTTTTTTTTCCCCCTTTCTGCTTTCTGTTTGATATTTGATATTTTGGTTCTTCCTGTAATTGGGATATTGTACGTGATTCCTTCTTTCACGAGAGTGTTTTAGACAACTTAATGTATTGTGATTTTTGGGAATTGGAAGTTCAACTCACAAAGAGTTTTAGTTTGTAATCCACTCGGCTGATTTGTTCACCTTGATGGTTTCTGGTTTTTCATATTTTGTTAACTCTTTTTCGGGAAAGTTACTGTATTTCACATCTGTAGCATTTTCTTTATTTTTTTATTTTTGGGTGGGGGTGGGGGGAGTTTCAGAAAATTGGACTTTTTTGTGTAAAAATATATCACAAAATTTGGATATTTCATGGTTTTTGAAGCTTGATGTTGTGCTTTAAGTTTATTTATTGATTGGCTTCATTCTTGAAGCTCTGGGCAAACACTAATGATGGGTGGAAGCAGTGCACAGAAGCTAACAACAAATGATGCCTTGGCATATCTCAAGGCAGTAAAGGACATATTTCAGGATAGAAAAGATATATATGATCAGTTCCTTGAAGTCATGAAGGATTTTAAGGCTCAAAGGTTTGCAACTTCTTGTTAAGTTTGTGCTGTTTACATCACATCTTTGTTTGATTATGCTAATACTTTTTTTTCCCTGTTTTCTGGTTGTAGAACTGATACTACTGGTGTCATAGCTAGAGTGAAGGATTTGTTTAGAGGCCATAGAGACCTTATTTTGGGGTTCAATACCTTTTTGCCTAAGGGATATGAAATTACTCTCCCTCCTCCAAATGAATCTCAGCTGGTGAAGAAGCCGGTTGACTTTGAAGAAGCAATCAGTTTTGTAAACAAAATTAAGGTGAAAGATTTATGCTTTTTGTTAAACATTTCCGCCACCACCCTCTTTTTTTTCCTTCTTATTTTATGCTGTTTAGGTTCTTACATGTGGAGGCATTTTGTTTTTGCAGACTAGGTTTCAAGGTGATGACCATGTGTATAAATCTTTTCTTGACATTTTGAACATGTACAGAAAGGAAAACAAAAGAATTACAGAGGTTTATGAACAGGTGCATTTTGATTTATTTAACTGATGATTGCTAATGATGTATTCTGGCTCCATCTTTCCATTTTTCTTATTATTTTCTTTTCCTCCGTATCATCAATTTGTTTCTAACTCTTTTCCTTTAAAAAACAAAAATTGTTTCAGGTGGCAATCCTTTTCCGCGACCATCATGACCTCCTTGATGAGTTTAGTCATTTTTTGCCGGACAACTCTGCTTCTGGATCTATCCAGAATACTCAGCCTGGGCGGAATGGTATCTTACGTCGTGATGACAGAGGTTCTCCAATGAGAATGACGAAGCCTATGCAAATTGAGAAGGTAGTTTGGGAGGATTCTGTTGATTATTTATGTTAACTATCCGATGTAACTTTTACTGGGTTTCTTTACAGAAAGCTTCTGCTTCATATGTTGAGCCTGACCACAGTGTTCATCGGTCTGATCGCGGCAATGAGAAGCTACTGATGAGATCTGACAAAGATCCACGGCGGCGTTTTAAAGACGAAAAGGACAGACATGAAGACAGAGAACATGTAGAACGCAACCATGATGATAGAGATTTGGATGACAGGAAGCAACACTTTTCTTCCCGCAGGAAATCTGCTTACAAGGAAGATTCTGATGCTGGCCAATTGCATCAAGGTAAACACAGAGCATATTATCATGGCTCAAATACAATATTAAGCTGAATGCCCTCTCTTTTTTCCCAACAGCATTCTGATTGAAGCATTTCTCGTCTGCCGTTTATGTTATTTGAGCAATGTTACCATAAAAGCTACAAGTTTTGTATTAGACAAGTTCCTGATTTGAAGCTTGCTTTTTCTAACTCTTTCAATTCAGTTTCACCTCCCCCCCCCCTTATTTTAAGTTGTGCTTCTGGCATGCGTTTTGACAAATTATCACCTTTCCATTTGTTACCGTTCGTTGAATTTCTCTTTGAAGGAGGCCAAGGGCTTGCTTTCTGCGAGAGGGTGAGAAAGAGACTGCACAATTCTGATGATTTCCAGGAATTTTTGAAGTGTCTTAACTTCTATGATGCTGATAATATATCAAAAACCCAACTACAAGCTCTGGTATTGCTCTTTGGCCTTTTTTCTTGTGTAGTGTTGTTCCTAGTACTACTCATGAGATGGACCATGAGGTCTTTAACTAGTTCCCAAGTGAAATTTAAAAATTTTCTCATTTTGATGGAGTTTTTTTTTTTTTTTCTGCTTCGCTGCTTTGAACATCAGTAAACTGAATGCCAAACCTATGTATATGAACTTTGATTTTGTGATGTTAACATGACAATCAGTTTCTTGATCTTTTCACGAATCAGGCAGCACCATTTTACGTGTTTTTCTAACTAGCAGATGCACTTTAAGTATTGCTACCAAATATTGTAAGCTCTCATCTAACTACACAAATATCACGTCAGGGAAATGTTGGGAGAAATTTGGATGAAGATTTAGGTCTTGTAATTAGACTTTACTCATGATTACAGAGTTGTGCTAGCTTGTTTCTCGAATCCGAAACATAATGGCTTCCAAAATAAAATATTTTGTTTCAACCAATGATTGCTATTTTACATTTGTACTATTTTTGTGGTTTACTTCAATCTATCAGCCTGTTTCTGGATGATTTTCTAGTTAGGAAGTGCATAAAATAAAAATTGAGTTCTGGTGCTGATTTTGTGTCGAACATGATTATTAATGTATTACGTTTTGCTTTTTTCTTTCCAGGCGGAAAAAATACTTGGAAGATATCCGGACCTTATGGAGGAATTCGATGAAATTTTAGCTCAATGCGATAAGACTAGTAATTTCAACTTCTTAGTTCCTTAACTTCTCTAACAGCGTTCATCATGTTTCCTGGTTTCTTATATCTGCATTTTGTCTGATAAACTCTTTCCTCCAGATGGTGGTCTTGCTGCTGTTATGGGAAAAAGTATGTTGGATCCACTATTCTTCATTCTTTTTAGTTTCTCGTTCCTTACTCAACTGGCTTGACTCTCATATTATAGTAGCATGTTATCGCATATGTGAAAAACGAATTTATATTCTTTCTTTACTTTTCTGTAGTGTGGTGGATTTGTTGGGGTTCGATGGTCTTAATTATTTAGTACATTGCAGGATTCCTTTGGAATGATGGACATGTTTCCAGATCAATGAAAGTAGAGGACAGAGAGAGAGATCAAGAATGGGACAGGGAAGACAGAGATAAGGATCATATTAATAAAGAAAGAGACAGATCCGATAGAGGGCTTGCCTTCAGCTATAAAGACACTGTAGGACAGAGGGTGTCATCATATCCAAGCAAAGATAAACTTTGGGCAAAACCAATCCAAGAACTTGACCTATCAAACTGTGAGAGCTGTACTCCCAGTTATCGGCTTCTTCCAAAAAGTGTAGGCATCAATAGGTTTGTTGATCAGTTTTGTTGATTTTAAGGAGTTATCCGGCTCACTTTTGCTTTTATGCTTTCATTTACAGTATCCAATTCCTTTAGCTAGCCATAAAACTGCAGTTGGTGCCCAAGTACTGAACGATCACTGGGTATCTGTTACTTCTGGTAGCGAAGATTATTCTTTCAAACACATGCGCAAAAACCAATATGAAGAAAGCTTGTTCCGTTGTGAAGATGACCGGTCAGATACTATTTCCCTCATATATATATGATGACTATATTTCTTTTATTAGTCCTTGTGACTCAAAAGAAGATATATGACTATATTTCTTTTATTAGTCCTTGTGACTCAAAAGAAGTTGATTTTTCCCTTCTTTCCATTCAGTTCTCTCATTTGTTTTGTTTTTTCCCGTATGGGCTATGCGGCCGATGCCAACTTATATCTGCATTGACAATGAATATGTTACTAGTAGATTTATTTTTCTGCCTATGAAAGGAAGAATTTTGGTCACAGGGCTGTTATTTGGTTAAGCTGCTACTTGCCATCATTATTTCTTTCTTAATGTAATGAGAACATGTTTTTTTCGCTTGTACTTTATAGATTGTAATTAATCTGTTTTGCATTCTTTTGTTATAGATTTGAATTGGATATGTTGTTAGAATCTGTAAATGCAACAATAAGCCGTGTTGAAGATATGCTAGACAAGGTGAATGATGGTATAAGTCCTCGTCTTGAAGACAATTTTAATGGTAATGAATTGTTGCACTCCGATTACGCACTGGTATGCTGTTGCCTTTAATACTGATTATTTCATTTTATCCCAGCTCTTAATCTTAGGTGCATTGAGCGTCTGTATGGTGACCATGGGCTTGATGTCATGGATGTTCTGAGGAGGAGCCCGTCTTGTGCACTCCCAGTTATACTAACTCGCTTAAAGCAGAAGCAAGAGGAATGGGCTAGATGTCGCTCTGATTTTAATAAAGTATGGGCTGAAATATATGCGAAAAATTATCACAAATCCCTTGATCATCGGAGCTTCTATTTCAAACAGCAGGATACGAAAAGCTTGAGCACTAAAGGTAAATTGAGGTGACATTATTTTGGATTCAATAAGTGTTTACTCTGTTTTGGTGCTCGCTCTTCCATTCATGTTCCATTCGGCCCATGTTCTACATGTAACAAGTTTTCTTGCATGATGATAGAAATGTATATGAAAATTTTTGACGGATCTAATTCATGCCCCCCAATTTTCAAACTTATGTCATTAGTCCTTGGAGTTAATAATTGGAAAATTAGGTAATGTTGCTTTCCTGAGTTAATTTTTCCTCTATTCTGAGATGGACATTTACTTTGCAAATGACGAAAGCTGACTAGGTCATTATGGTTGTATTGTTATGTTTTCCTTTTTATGAGAGAGGAGGCAACCCTCCTGCTTTGTCTGCCACTGGGTTCTTTTCCAGGTGTCGTCATAACTATCTCAAGTTCCACTTGTGTGCATTCATTGGTCTGGTTTGTAACAAGAGCTTTTACTATTTTGAAAGTCATGCTATGTTTTTACTGCATAAGGAGTCTCACGTGTTTGGGGAAATTTTAACTAAGCCAAGGAAAAGCAATTGGGAACTAGGAGCTTGACAAATGGACATCTTTTGTTGGTCTAACATAGTTGTCTATGCATGAAAGTCTTCAGATTTTCCAAAAATATCCCAGTCAAATGCTTAATTTACTGTGCATATCGGGTATAAATGTCCTGTTTAGGGTCTGAGTCTCATTAGCGCCGCACATTTCTCATTCATTGTATGTGTTTGAGTCACCACCACCAACGATGTTTCCCATCGATGAAATCCGTAAGATTTGTGGCTTTCCCAGTATTCCTTGTCGTGCTAGCTGCGAGTCTTCAACATGCTTTGGTCATTGAAAAGAATAATCTCCTTTCCTTTTGTTTCAACCCTATTTTTTTGGCTTTTAAAGCATGGGTTTCCCCTCTTATGAATGTTTAATTTATTTTTCCAGCTATTCAAATTCTTATTATCTGGATTTGATACAGATTTTTTTTGGATGTAAAAGACTTTATTTTTTAAAGAGTTTGTTGCTAAATTTGTATTGATCCAATCAGACGGTCTTAATTTCAAGATCCGTTGCTTTATGTTTCTTTTTTAAAATTTTTCTGTTGGATCATGGATCTTGCTATGAAATCCAATGGCTGTTGTTTGGTTTGAGAGAAACTTGGTCACATGTTTTGAAACCTGTGATTTACCTCAATGGGGACTGAACTAGTCTCTTAGATCTTGATTTTTCTTTATATTTGAGGAGCAAAGATGATTTGTTGGGGAAATAAATTGGATGCTTGGAATCACATTGAATCTTTAAAGCGTTATGTTTGATTAATTGTATCCATGTTATATTTACCTTTTAAGGTCCGTTGTCATTCCACCATATCGCATTAATCTTGCCCTGAAATAGAGGTTGGGAGTCGATAGTGTTCGACAAAATTAATAAATTTCTTAATATGGTTTGACGAGCATTGAGAAAGATGGTGGATGAGACAAAATATGTAGACTTGGTTGATTATAGTAATTCTTCTACCTATGTTAGTTGTCAAATAGCAGTGGATCTTGGTGTAGTTTTATTATTTTTTTATAGATGGTAAAGGATTCTAGTCATGAAAGTTTAAAATACTGCATGTTTACCTGGTACATCTGAACGCTCATTTTGATTAGGGGATCAACTTTTATTTTTTCCTTGTGTTGTGATGGTGTGGTCCACCTGGAGTGTAGTTTCTTTTCAGTGGTACCTTATGCTTCATTGATTATTGTTTTGTTCTTTGAACATTATTGTCAGACTATTCAGTTATGCGGTCAAGGCTAGTACTTGTAGCGTAGATCAAACTTGTAGTGCCAAAACTGTCTTACTCGATGCTTGAAACCTGACCTTCAAATCTTCAATGTTAATGTCTCCTTGATCCCTTACATTATTTCTTATTGTTCCTTTATGTTCATCTTCTTTCAGTGCTACTAGCTGAGATCAGAGAAATCTTTGACAAAAGGAGCCAAGAAGATGATATGCTGCTGTCTACAATCTCTGGAGTGCGACAACCTATAGTTCCTCATTTGGAGTTCGAGTATCCTGATCCAAGCCTCCATGAAGATCTTTATCAACTTATCAAATATTCATGTGGAGAAATTTGCTCCTCTGAACAGGATAAACTTATGAGGATTTGGACAACTTTCCTGGAACCTATGCTTGGTATACCTTCTAGACCTCAGGATATTGAGGATACTAAGGACGATGTAAAGGCCAATGATGATGTTGTTGGAGTAACTGACAGTGGTGTGGAAGAAAGAAAAGGTAGTACTGCTGGAAGTATATCTGCCCCTGATTGCAAACACTCTACTGCCTGCTTTAATGGAGATGATTATACGCACTCGGAGCATTCAACTTCAAGAAATGGTGATAATGAGAAGGAAGATGATTCAGGTGATGGAGCCAATGAGACAGATAGTTTATGTAACACATCCCAACCAGAAAAATGCAATGAACAACCGCTGCCAGATGAAACCTTTGGGAATAACAAGCAAGCAGCTGTGAGTGAACTGCTCCCTTCTCCTGATGCTGATGGATTGGACAGGAGTAAACCTGAAAAAGCTTCAAGTACGCACGTTTTGTTGATAAATTTATCTACAGTTCTTTGACTATTTTGTTACTATTTGATGTGGCATGACTGTTGTACAGTCATTGAGTTCTTGATTGGAATCTAATCTTTTTCCCTGCTAGGAACCTCTGCTGGAGAATCTGGGCGTCTCAGTGCTGAATGTGAGGTATAAATCCAGACTCTTGACTCGTGTTCAATACTTCTGGTTTTATCTTTGTTATATTTCTTTGATATCTATAGCTTTCCTGAAGCCCGAAACTTAAGGATGAATGAATAACTGTAGGTAGGCTTCCCCTTGCATATGGTGTTATTTCCCTTGCGGTTCAAACAATTCCTCCTGACTTGTCTATTGGAAACATTATTAGTTCACCAAAAAAAAAAAAAAACATTATTAATTCTGTAGGTTCTCGGTTCTCCAAAAAAATGCATGCTGTTAAGCTGTTTCCTAATTCCATGAGATTTTCGCATTTAGAATGTTTTCAAGAATTTACCATCACTAACTTTTCATATGAATCCTGTAACTACTCAAAAGAAGAAAGAAGAGATTCATTTTAATGTTTTAGCACAAATATCTTTATTACTCTGAGTTTTCTTATAGCCGGCCCCACGTAATGGGAAAAGGCTTGTTGTTGTTGAAAGAGTGTTCTTACGTGGAATCATATGATGCCACTCGCTTCCGAGTTACTGTTACTTTTTCTTTCTATTGCTTAGTGTTTGCTTTAGAATATGTTACCGCAAATTGTATTTGTTAAGGATTTCCTTTGTTTAAGCCTTAGTTTTCAGTAGTTGAGACTTCTAGTTTTTGGCTGTATGGTCTCAATTTCTAATCTTTTCTTTTCTTTATGGAACTCTCTATTACAGAGTGTTGATTGTACCGGACTTGAATCGTGTTCAGTCCCTGCTGTTTCAACTAAAAAACACCTAGAAGAATCCAGGGCCAAATTCAAGATTGAGAGAGAGGAGGGAGAATTGTCTCCTGCTGCTGGTGATTTTGAGGAGAATAATTTTGAAGAATGTAACAAGTTGGAAACTGACTCAAAGGACAGTGGTAGCCGGCAGAATCTGATTGCATTGGAAGTAGGGGACATTGTTTTGAAGGATGCAGTGGAAGAAAATGATGGTGCTGATGGTGATGGCGAGGAGAGTGCTCACAGGTTATCGGAGGACAGCGAGAATGCTCCTGGAAATGGTGATGTTTCAGCCAGTGAATCAGCCGATGGAGAAGAGTGCTCACCTGAAGAGCCTGATGAAGATGGGGATCATGATGCCAATGATAACAAGATTGAGAGTGAAGGTGAGGCAGAGGCATTAGCAGATGATCAGGATGCTGAAGGAATTGAAGGTACCCTGGCATCATCAGAACGTTTTCTACAGAGTGGAAAGCCCCTTATGAAATTAAACCCTCAGGGATCGACTGATGGGGAGATGAATTCACAACTCTTTTATGGGAATGATTCCTTCTATGTGCTTTTCAGGCTTCACCACGTAAGCGTTTCTTTCTCTCTTTTTCCACATGAATTTTTAAGCAAATTTGAATTACTGCTAAAATATATGTATATGTACATGTCCACACGCATTTATGCTTTTCCACTCACCTCAAAGTTTTTTTTCCCAATTGCAATAGATACTCTATGAAAGAATACATAAGGCAAAGTTACACTCTTCTACTGCTGAAAATAAATGGAGGGCCTCTAATGATACAAACTCAGCAGACTCATATTCAAGGTACTTATTTTACTGCAGGTTCCAGTTCCTCTTGACTTTTAGGAACGTTCACATTTTTACTTTCCAACTCTTCATGCTTGCAGGTTTATGAATGCTCTTTATAGTTTATTGGATGGATCTTCTGACAATGCCAAGTTTGAGGATGACTGCCGCGCTATCATTGGAACTCAATCTTATTTACTTTTCACATTGGACAAGCTGATATATAAACTTGTGAAACAGGTGAAAGCATGTTGCTTGTTAGTCTGCTTAGTCAGACCTTTATTTATCACCTTTGTTTACTTTATTTTTAATCTAAAGCTTACAGCTGCCATTTTGTCCAGCTACAAACTATTGCTACTGATGATTCAAACACCAAACTTCTCCTACTACAAGGATATGAGAGATTAAGAAAAAAAGGGAAATTTATCGATCATTACTATAACGAAAATATTCGTGTCTTTCTGCCTGATGAGAACATTTATCGGATAGAAACCGTAAGTGTAGATAAATTTGTCTGATTCTCCTCTCGATTCTGGTTGCCATTCTACTTTGTGCTGTAACATTTGTGCTTGAATTTTACTGCAGTTGTCTGCACCAACGCGATTGTCTATACAGCTTATGGACTATTGGTTTGATAAGCCAGATTCAAATGTTGTTCCTATGGATACAAAATTTTCAGCTTATCTGACAGAGTATCTCTCTGAGGTTCCTGAGAGAATCGTTAAGCCTGGATTGTTCTTGAGGAGGTATTACCTCTTTACAGAACCTTACTCAATGTGTTTGAATTGATAGTTCTTTTAGCTGATGACTTGCTCTTATTTGATAGAAATAAGCGCAAATATACAAATCTAGATGAAGCTGACGCTTTCATGGACGCTATGGAGGGAGTTGACATGATTAATGCTCTCGAATGTAGGATAGATGCCAGTACATCAAAGGTAATGCTGAGACCTCGCTAGACAATCTGTATATTTTTCATGTAATTAAAAATGATCAGTTTGGAATTTCTGGCTAAATGGGGCCCTGGTCTTGGCAGGTATATTATGTTTTAGATACAGAAGACTTCTTTCACAGGAAGAAGAAGAGAAAGACTTTGCATCAGAATGGTTCAAGCAACAGTGCCACCAAGGTAATCTATTGGAATATCCTTGACAACTGAAAATTACAACATGTTAATTTACTGGAATATCCTTGACAACTGAAAAATACAACATGTTGGCCTTTATTATTATTCCACTATCGCGGTACGGTCTATTGATCACAGTTCACTGACAATTGAAAACTAAAAATTAAAAAAAAAAGGGTTTCTGCCAGTTATTCAAGTTGTTCCGCGTATTGCGTTATATGGATATGACAAAAGTTGGGGGACAAATAGTTCCTGAATTATGGACTCAGGCTTTACCATTTCAATTAGATGATATTTCCGTGCTCCCAATTTTTGTATTTTATTCAACTCTTTGCATGTATAAAAAACTCCAATCTTTTGTTCCATGTTCTCTCTGTTCAAGTCCTTTTCTTAGTTACCGTGGCTGATATTTTGCTTTTCTATTTCTTCGAAGGCACTTCAAAATGCATAAGTTAGGATAGCAGAAAAGAGTTCAACCGGAAGCAGACGCATCAATGCTAGATTTTGCATGCTGCTGAATAAGGAGGATGTCACTGCGATACTAACTGCTAGGGGACGATTATTTCTTTCAGATTCTTAACATAGGAGAAATTTTATGTGTATAGAGAGCCTTCCTGGTGTAATCTACCTTCTTGGTCAATTTCTTCACAGGATCTGTTATATTTTGCCGTTTGTTCTCGAAAGCCATATTTAACTTTTGAGTTGGAAAAACTCCGTTCGTGTAATTGTTGTTCCGATATTGTTAGTCCCAACTTCTTCGTGAGAAATCTTGCTTTGCATAGTAAAGTCTCTGACCTGAGACGGGAGATCTACTCATCCCCGCCGCTGTATATAGTTTTGAGTACCGTTACATCAATCAAATCAAAGGTAGGGACAAGATACTACTCTGTTACTTTATTACTCCTACTCGATCAAAATAAATCCAATAGTGAATAATGAATTTGTACGCAGAATAATGGGAAAACTATTACATACACCTGCACAATTTCTTCACTATCCATTATAAGAACAAAGCTGCTAACTAATACATGATTGATGGTGTAACATATGGAACAAAAGGTTGAAAAAAGTCGAGAGAAGTGTGCTAAAAATTTAAACCAATTACAATTGCTAGCTTGAGTTATGTAACGTTTCATTTTACATGTTCTTTACAATGTGAACTTCTAGCTCACATAGCCAATCTCCCAATTTTTTCCCTGCCTTCATTCACATCATAAGCCTGCACTTCCTGCGCGTATTCGGGTGGTGTGTGTGGGGGTGGGGGAGGGGAGGATATTTACCAACTGCAATAGAGAATCTAACCTACCTGATCTTCGGTAGTATATCCACCTGTAAGTTGCACAACCTATCTAACCTACCTGATCTTGGGTAGTATATCCACCTGTAAGTTCCATAACCTTGACTGAGCCGCACATCAGGCAAGGAACCCCCTTACGTTGCTAACCCATTGTCCATCTTCATGCAACTTAAGAATTCGTCTTGTTAGAAACTGCCACATACTTTCTCTAGGAAGTATGTCTAGCTGTTTGATAAACCTTGAAAGCGTCTTATCAAAGGTGTTGCAGCTGGTATCAAAAGAAATAGATTCAAATCAATCTACTAACGCTTGGATTAATTATTAGGACAAAACAAATATTCTGAAAACCTTGAGAGCTACCTCTTCATGCAAACAATTGCTTACCTGAGATAAACAAGGTATCTAACATGCTTTCTGACTTTTGATTAGTGCATGCAGGAATAAGATCAGGCAAGAAAGAAATTCCTGAGGAAGTCAAATTCACTGTGTAACTTCACTAATTGCCTTCTTTTTTTTTTTTTTTGTGTGTGTGTGTGTGTATGTGCGTGTGCATGTTTGAAGGGTGTCCAGTTGGCCAAAGAATTTAAGGTTACTCCATGCCCATGGCAAGGTTCGAACCCTCGATCTATGGTTAAGGGTAGAGGAGTCCTTTTCACTCCACCCCAACCCCTTTGGTTAACAAAATGCCTTTTAGTAATGCATGAGTGATGAAATAAATTACACAATTTCCACTCTGGTGCAAGATCTTTTTCTGTTGCACTATCAAAGATGAAAACTCAAAAGTGCATAGTGGAGAGTAGAGAGTAGTATTGCACATTAAATGTCATGCAGGTACTAATACGGTTGTTTCAATATGAAAGAAAATGTGAGTAGTGATTGTCTCAATGTGGTTTTGAATTAATATGCAGAAGAAATGGTTCGACATAAACTCCAGTGTATTTATTCTGTTCTTAATTTTTGTGGACATAGTCATACACCTGAAAATTCTGAGATGGGGAGCCAAACAAATAATCAAAAGAATTTTCAAAAAATTCTGAATATCTTACCTGATACATAGCCTTTTAGCCAGCCAGTTCACTAATGGGTGGACGATCCATTATGTCAGATGCACTCTTCGCTTTGCTTTGCAGTAAAGGGTCAACGTCGGGTAATTTAGGAATCTACCAGAAACAAGAGTTCAGTGTCAGTTCAAATGAACAAGTTCAGTTATATGCTTGAGTGCACTCCACCTATACCATCGTACCTGTGCTAATAGATCAATTGTTCGCCTAAGAAGACGAGCAAGATCACCTTCATCCATAGCACAATCCATCATAATCTCTCTCCATGTCAGACCAGAAGCCCAGGCTTCAACCATGCCAGAAAATTGACTATCCAAGCAGCATGGTATCTGTAGAACCAGAAGAAAACTTAAGGTTCTAACTCGGATAGCAACCAGATAAACGGTGCTGAGTTTGAAACATCAAAGTCACAAACTAACACAACTCGTGATTCAAGTTAACTCACTGTTACTCCATGCTTCTGCTGAAGTTCCAAGAGTGAGCTTCTTTGTTCTTCCAAAACTCCAATGACATTCATGACAGAAGAAGAAGCTTCATACATGTAGCTGCAATAAAGGAAATAAGAAGAGATATATAAACGCATAGCAGTTGACCACAAGTTGTGATATATTCAGTACGGAAAGTCGGAAACAATAGAGCTAAATAGTTGTCAATGCTCAGGAGTCCGGATAGCTTTTGGGACAAATCCAAAAAAGAAGCTGCTAATTGACTACAATTAGAAAGTGAAATGATACCTGTTATTTTTCCAAGGTCTGATCTTAATTCCTTCAGAGACTAGGCTTCCGCAGACAGCAGCAAGCTGTGCTGGCTTCAGGTCCCGTAGTACTTTGTTACGAAGCACCATTGCAAGCCAGAGCTCATTTTCCCCACGCATGGCAGATGCAGTTTCACCAAGAGGAAAGATGACGTGAGTGTTAATATCCAATGCCCTAGATTCATGTATCACATTGCTAACCTGGAACAATTTCGGAGAACATCAACATCAATATGCATCCGTATAGGTGGACCATATTATTGCATATTCAGTGTTACCATGTTAAAAAGCCTCGCGACACCATAAAAAACTCGTTGACAAACAAAGAGCAAACCTGCAGAAATTCCTTCCAGCCAGAAGGTTCAATCTTCTCTATTCTGTTAATCAAGCGCTTCGACCTAGCTTTTAGGCGTCGAATCTTTTCTTCAGTAAATTTAGCTGTATCTAGTATCTTCTTGTATTCTTTAAAACCTTCTGTACGTGCAATTCTTTTCTTCAAGCGAGAAACCTTATTTCTCTGGTCCTTGTAGATTTCTACGGCATCATAGTACACTTGAGAAAATTTTAAGACCTATCAAGAGAAGAGGAACAATGAGAAAGTGGAATGAGAAACCTTCAAGACAAAATGCAAGACACAAAAAGGAAACTTAGTTCAAAAACTCTTCCCATCACAAAACTCTTTTCTTTTGAAAAATTTATGGTGATGAAGTACTTGGAAAAGCAGAAATTCCAACAATAAACATTGCTAAAAGAAATTGGAAATAGTTGTCTATGACATAAACCATCAAAATAGATATCTGATGAAAATTAAAGAAGTTAAAAGCGCTTGACATAGTTTAAGATTGTGAAACCATTATAATTTATCTTTAATTGACCATAAACAAAATTGCTTGTGGTAAGTTAATTTAGTATTTGGCACTAAAGATTATTAGGATTTACAGCAACATGTTACCTCATCATCTTCTGAAAGACTACTCATGACTGGCACATTTAAGCTCCAGGACCACGTCTCCAGAGATCCTTCCATGGTCCACAGACCACCAAGTTCGGACTCCACTACCTTCTGCCATTGCATGTCCCCATTATCAAGAAGCTTACTCATGATTTCACGAGGTGAATCATCACCTTGTGATAACGGAGTATTGGGAAAGCCAGTTTTGTAAACTGTTCTTATCCATTTCTCTGTGAAAAGATACCAAGAGTTATCTGAACCAAGAGCTACATGATATGAAGGGGAGAGATTAGATTCAAATTCACTGCCACCATCTGCTGTAAATGCAAATGCATCTGAATCTTTAACCTGTGTAAAAGCAGGAAGAGTTTTAAATATCTTTCTTTTGTAAAATATAAAGATATCTCCCAGTGAACTATGTAGCAAGAAATAGGCAATTATACATTAAAAAGAAAAAGAACAGCATCTACAATCCCATTTGAAAAAATACCATCTCCTACTAGACCAACAAAATTTGTGGCTAAATCTCTGCATTAATCAGAGTGGTGTGGACCATAATGAAGTATATAGGTTAAGGCCTATTAAGGATTCCACACACAAGATCAACTTGGTGAAGGATTGCCACCAGCAACAATAACTGATTTTAAGGCCACGTGTGCCCTAAGAAAATATTACTCCAAAGGAAGATGCAAAAAAGAAGCCAACTTCAACAAATTAAGGCATATCTTATATGCACTGGTGATATCCCAGTGAGCCAACTGAACTCACCATATTTTTAAGTCTGGGAGCATTCAGAGAGTCAACTCTCCCAAGATAAGCAGCCGGAAGCAGATGTTGAGTTCCAGCAGAATCACTGTACTGTAGACACATAAAAGGTAAATGCCCATCTCCTAGCTCCTTCAGCATTGGTTTCAAAGATAAGAGCCTCTCCAGTTCCACTTTTCTTTTTAATTCTGACCGCCTCCGTTTTTCAGCCTGTACAATCCAACAGGTGAAAATAAAATTCAAACCAAGAAAAATAGAATGGAAAGATAAAATGGTGTAGCAGAGAATTTTTTTAATCCCGATCCTTGTAAACAAGCACCGCATGTACACTAATATTTACACTCCAATGCCATACAGTCAATCAGATTGTTTCCAGCCTAAAAGGCCTTTAAGAAGAAAGATTCCAAGCATCAAAAAAGTATGAAGAACAGGAATACCCTTAGTTCTTCCTGGAGGTCAGTTATCTCTTTGTATGCTGAGGAGGTTAAAAGTTTCTTGCTCTTTTGGTCAATACTTTCATCACTAATATCTTTAGTAAGCCTCTCTATTTCGTTCCCTATTTTAGCAAGTTCTTCTTTTGCAGCAAGCATAACATTGCTTCCCACGTAATTCCCAAAACTCTGTTCAACTAGCTTCCTTGCTTCTTCTAGTGTCCTCCCTGCTTGCATGACTTTTAAATCATCTGATTCACTTGTCGCATTTGTGACTTTTACACCCTGCAAAGGCATCTTTAATGAAGACTCTCAGCAAGATAACAAAGATGCAAAGCTATGGACAGGAAAACATACCGCGAGAAGATTGAGAACCATTCCATATGATGCAGTAAACTGCGAAACAAGAGGCTCAAGCCCAGAAAAGAGAAGCTTGCAGCATTCCTCAGGTCCTTCATATGGCGTTTGAACAAGAACTGCATGACCTCTATCATCAATACCCCTACGACCAGCACGGCCAGCCATTTGCAGCAAGTCATTTGAGCTCAGCTGCATGCGCCCACTTTCACCCCTTTTGCTAAGAGATGAAATAACAGCTGTCCTGGCTGGCATGTTTATCCCAGCAGCAAGCGTTTCTGTAGCAAATACCACCTTCACTAGCCCTCTTTGAAACAAATCCTCTATAAAAGATTTCCATAGGGGAAGGCAGCCAGCATGATGAGCTGCAGCTCCTCGGAGAAGGCCTTTCACTGAAGACTCTCTAACAGCATCAGGATATTGAATACGAAACTTCTTCAATGCCAGTTCAACTTCAGTCATCTCACACTCATCCAGCAAACAGCAATCTTCAAGATACTGTACAGCTGCATCACATCCTTTCCTGCTAAAGATAAACCAAATTGCAGGAAGCATATCCATTCCCTCTAGCTGCCATAAGGTGTCTACAACTTGGGGGACCTAAAAGGAGAAAGAAACAGAAGGAAATTAAGAAAGCAACAATGCAGAATTCTCTGCGGTAACTCAAAAATTACATATCAACCAGCAGAAGAAAATAGCTAAACATACAGAGAAATTCAACTGGCTCAGACTGTACCTGTGAACGACGGGTATTATTTACACCATTCTTTGAGAAGGTAGGAATATCAGTCTCATGCTTTCTGGAGCTCCTTCTCCTAAATCTGTCATCCTTACGTAAATTATCCCCTGAAGAATCGAGCTCCATATAGCTAAGTGCCAACCTCCTGTCCAAATTAAAAGGATGCACAATAGAAGCTAATCAGAAAAATGTTCTATGTAATTTCCGTTTTCCTTTATTAACGAGAAAAATGTTCTATATCATTTCCATTTTTCCTTCATTAACGAGCTACAAAAAAATAAAGATTGATAAAGAAATGCCTCAATGTATGGAGGGGCTAAGCCTCAACAAAACTAACAATGCAGTCATCAGAAACTCGGTCATTACTGTTTAGACAACACAGATTCATATTAGCATTTGTAGGAGTTTAACCTTTTTTAATGGAATTATATGTGGAAGAAGATTGGTTGCAGTACTGTATATATTACAAGAAAAATGGCACATGAAATTAAACGTTACCTATTCATGCCTGTGCCTTTCTCATTAAGAAGAGGTCGCAAAGCTGTTTTTGTAGAGAAGTGCCAAGTCAAAGGAACTGGACGTTTGGATGATGTCACCAACTCAGTTTTACCATGAATCTTGAAATCCATATATGTATTCAGAAAAGGGGAAAAAGAAAACAAAAGATGTAAGCATTAATTTATTGTTCTAACAAGCCTCAGCAAACCTCTAATCATCAAACTCATGTCAAAGAACCATACAGGTACCTGATTGATCCAACCAGCCAATTCATCAGGATTAGCAACAGTTGCTGAGAGACATATGAGCTGAACTTCTTTGGGACAATAAATAACCTGAAAGAATTTCAAACCAATTAATTTACATGCCACAAACACTAGAAAACCAAACTTCCAAAAACTGCAGGCACGCACAATCTCTTCCCAGACAGTACCCCGAGATATGTCACTTAGATAGTGTACTTCGTCCAGCACAATAACATCAACATGAAGAAGTCCACTCTCTGATGAAACCGCTCCAACACTGGATAACCAAATGGTAACATATTAGTAATGGAATAAATATGCCCTTGGAGATCATAAAACCTATAGAACCCTAAACCAGAAGCAAATGTTGGCTTACCTCTGATAGAGCATATTGCGCAAAATCTCCGTAGTCATAATTATAACCTGAGCATCTCTATTAATTACTGAATCACCAGTGATAAGCCCAATATTGGTATCACCAAATGCTTCACTGCAAATTGCATTTCACAAAATCAAAAGTAAGCTGGATAGACCAGCAAATTGGCAGCAGAGCAAAACAATATTTAGGTTATAAATGAAAAGTATGATCAACTTCCAGACCGGAATTCACGGAATTTCTGGTTAGATAGAGCCTTTAATGGAGTAGTATAGAATAGTCTCCTCCTTCTGGCAACTGTAGCAACAGCTGCCGCTTCTGCAATTAAAGTCTTCCCACTGCTTGTTGGTGCAGAAACAACCACTGATGACCCTCTTAAGAATGCTTTGATGGCCAACCTCTACAGATAACAAAACGATTCACACATTCAAAGAATATTCGCTGGTCCGCACCACGAAATACACGACCGAAAGACACAATTGAGAGCTTTCAAAAACAAACTTCACTCCTTGTTGCGTGATATAATACAGCTGAATAGTAATAAATGTGCACATAAACTCCATCAGAAAATTGCACAAACTTAAAAAATGACACTACGACTAGGAATATCTATGTTGAAACTTGCAAAATTTCACACGCAACTCATAAAATGACTAACACAAGCAAACATGATACATTTCTCTTTAAAAAAGAAACAGAAGCCTAATAAACAAATTTTCAATTGACATGTATAAGTGCATATTCCTGAGCAATTAACCTGAAATTTATCAATTCGGAACGAATAAACAGAAGCGAGCTCATCAACGTCGAGAATTTCATCACCGTACTCGCGAACATCGTTACAAACTCTTTCAATTCTCTGCCACTTGAACTCCTCATACTTGGACTTAATCTCCACCACCGAACTCTCCCCAATTTCTTCATCTTCTTCACTCGCATCAACCAGGTCGCCGTACTCTTCCGCCGTAATATCATCGCCGTCGTCATCGTCTACAACCGCATTATCCTCCTCCTCGTCATCATCATCCTCCTCTTCGTCGTCGTCTTCATCTGAGAGCTGTGAGTCGACGGGAAAAATTGATTTCGGAAATTTATAGAACAGCCTGAAGTTTCGGGGAGTTGTGGGAGCTGGGGGATGTTTAATGGAGGTGAAATTTAGGGTTCGAATGTTGCTGATAAAACTGAATGGAAGAAATGGGAGGGGCTTTAGTATAATGCGGGGAGAAGGATGAAGTATGGACATAATGGCGGGAGTGAAGAAGAGAACACACGCTTCAAGTGAAAGAGGAGATAATCTTTGGGATATTTCCAGTTTATATAGTCAGGTTGGATGTCTATAGAAATTGTGTTTGGCGTCTGAAACTATTCAAAACTACATATTAGCCCTTTTGTTTTCCTTTTTCATCTTATTTGCTCTATAAAATAGTACTCCTACTTCTCGCATTTTCTTTTTGACCTCAACTGATTGGATTATACGTGAAGAATGACACGGCTAGTTCTATTGTTTGCTATTCATTTCTTTGTCATATTATTCATAAATAAATACTATCTCTGTCCCAAAATTATTATCCAATTTGAGATTTCACTTTTAGTACAATTCGAACTAGAAATGAAAACTCAAACTGTACAATAATTATGACACGGAGGAAGTATTAGTTTTAAATTAGAGCGAGATTGAAAAAATAATGAGAATGTAAATTATATATTACAAAGCGAAACATATTACATGAAATCTAAGAGATACATTTAGTTAACAAACTACATCACACAATCTATAAAGCCTTAAGTTGAAGGTAAGCTTAAAAGCATAAGGACCCCTACTACAATATTACATAGTTTGCATAAAAGTGTTGTTCTTCCCGTTTCGAAATGATGATCCAATTTAAAATTTTGCTTTTGGTATTATTTGTATTAAAAATAAAAATACGAACTGTATAATCATTTTGAGGCCGAAAAATGTACCGTATCGTATCTTTATAAACTAATTATATTTGGACGTTATCTAATAATAAAAAGGAATATATCTGGTGAGCTGGTCTACTATGTCGAGTGATATTTTTAAAACATAACTCCATACGAGATGTTGTATAAGTTTTTATTCTTTTTTCCCTAAAACAGAAACCAAAACGTTAAATAAATTTTACCTTTCTATATCGTCATTAAGCATAAAATCTTAAACGATATATAAATGAGCACGCAGGTGTAAGTTTCGTTTACTAGTTGGAAGGTGTTATGTCAATGGATTTAACACCCTTATAAATCTGAAACGAGCACAACGATTTTGTAAAATATATTCTATAGAATAATCACAAACAATAAATGGGAAAAGAAAATATCGGGTCCGGATAAGCTTATTTCGTGTTTTTTTTAAGGAGTGTTTGTTGGGGCTTTTGTATTAAAACTAAAAAAAGAAAAAAACATCATAGAAGACAGCCATCACCAAGTGGTATAGTTGTTTTTTAGTTTTGATTCCTTCTCAAATCTGGCTTTTGGGTTGATTTTAGGACACCCACTGACTTATTATTATTATTATTATTATTATTATTATAATATAAGCAAATTCTAAATTGTAAACTAAAACATATTCGATTTTTTAATTATCAGTCTTCCACTGCCCACCAAATACTACCAATCGCTTTTTTCAGCTGAAATTCTTCCGTTTAACTAATACGGAGTACCCATAAACCCAACAAACACCGTATTCCACAAATCGTCAAATCTGAAAACAAAAAGAAGTTGAAACGTAGTAAATCAACGATGGCTCTCCTAACAAGCCGGAACGCCGCCGCCGGCGGTAAGCTACTCCGATGCGCCGCCGCAGCAGCTATCCCCACCATCCGACAACTATCCTCCTCCGCATCTACAATCACCGTCGAAACCAGCGTCCCTTTCACCGGCCACAGGATCGATCCGCCCTCGCGTTCCGTCGAAACCACGTCCGAGGAGCTCATGTCGTTCTTCCGCGACATGGCGTTGATGCGCCGCATGGAAATCGCTGCCGACTCTCTTTACAAGGCCAAATTAATCCGCGGGTTTTGCCATCTTTACGACGGCCAGGAAGCGGTGGCGGTTGGTATGGAAGCTGCGATTACCAAAAAGGATTGCATAATTACGGCTTATAGGGATCACTGTATTTTCCTGGGACGCGGGGGAACTTTGCTGGAATCGTTTGCTGAATTGATGGGAAGGAAAGATGGGTGTTCCAGAGGGAAAGGCGGCTCTATGCATTTTTACAAGAAAGAAGGGGGATTTTATGGAGGACACGGAATCGTTGGGGCACAGGTTCCGTTAGGGTGTGGTATAGCTTTAGCTCAGAAGTATAGAAATGACGAAAATGTGACCTTTGCGTTGTACGGTGATGGTGCTGCGAATCAGGGACAGTTGTTTGAGGCTCTAAATATGTCTGCTTTAATGGACCTGCCTGCCATTCTAGTCTGCGAAAACAATCACTGTAAGAAAGATTTGTTTTCTTGCTTTCTGAATAGTCTCAATCCAATTTTTTTTAATTTATTTTGGCTTACACTAGTGCTGATATTGTGTTGTTATGGGAAATCTTGGCAGATGGTATGGGGACTGCAGAATGGAGGGCAGCAAAGAGCCCATCTTATTACAAGAGAGGGGATTATGTTCCTGGTTTGAAGGTGCACAAAAGTTGTATTTTTGTTATAATTTGGTTGCTTAATTACTTTCATCTCTTACAGGTTATTTTTTAGCGGTTAAGTTTTAAGATAATTGTTTGGACCTTTTACTCTCTATTATTCGTTCTAGAGTTGTAATAAGTAGTCTGGAAGCTTCGGGTGCATACTTTGAGCTCTAGAAGCTTTTTGGACTAAGTTCTTACCGGTCTGTCAAGTTAGATGCGTAGTGACCTAATGTGGCTGGGTTTAAGAATAAAGTTAAATGCAGTTTTGGATGTCCATGTTAGACCTAATATTTCAAAAAGAATGCACGCTATAATCTTTCCTTTGTCGAGTCTTTGGGAAAATGCGAGTTGTGATATGTGCAATGGTGTGGTCTGTAGAATCAGAATTTAAGGTCTTCGTACTATACAACCTGCTGTTTCAAACAAAAATAACCTCCGATTGGCAATAATTGCTAAACGAATGTGATCGATTTACTTTCATCTAGTACGTTGACTTTTGGGATAAGACATCACACAGATTTTATTCCATTCACTGTTTCCATCAAATTTCATCTTATTTAGATTCTTAGTTATAGCCAGTCTGTGCTTTTGGGAAATTGAGTAGGTACTAATTTAAATGTCGGTGGTGGGAGTAGTAAATTCTCTGCCTTTGTACTTGGTTTACCTGTAGATTGATTTCGGCTGTAGTATTTACTTGGGACTGCAAATATGATGGATGCAGTAGAAATGTCCATCTGTTTAGTAGCGATGTGTTAACTCTCTGAATCATGTAATGTTGCAAGAAGAAAGTTTAGGGAATTTATGTGTATCTTCTTTCTTTAAGCTAGATGTTTTATCCTTGCAAATGTATTCAGTGTGCTTGACTTGTTCTCTTTGAATGCATCTTTTTGTTTCCTTTGCATCAAAGATTTTATGCCTGTGCACGGAGCGTTGTTTCCTTTGAGTATCTTTCTTATTGTGAACATTCAGCTTAAATAACAGTTTGACACTGAACAGGTAGATGGCATGGATGCTCTGGCTGTGAAACAGGCATGCAGTTTTGCAAAACAATATGCCTTGAAGAATGGCCCAATTGTGAGTACATCTCTGGAGTCTCTTTAGGCTTAGGTTCATCCATGTTTTATGTGACTTTTGTCATTCTTCCCTCGTATAATTTCTGCTGTTTAAGCATGATGATTTCTTAATCCTTGTCTAGATTCTCGAGATGGACACTTATAGGTACCATGGACACTCCATGTCTGATCCTGGGAGTACATATCGTACACGTGAAGAGATCACTGGCATCAGACAGGTTGCTTTTAAGTTTCGTGTCATGTGGAATGGAAATTTTAACTGGTATGTTGTGAATCAAAATTTAATGAATGTTATGTTTTTGTTGTAGGAGAGGGATCCAATTGAAAGGGTCCGGAAGCTTTTACTAGCCCACGACATAGCAAATGAGAAAGAGCTTAAGGTAAAGGAGCAGTAGTTTCTTACTTTAACCGGGAGTTTAGGACAGTGATAGTCTGAATCAATTCTATTTTTGGTTTGATACTGTAGGCCACTCAATGTGTAAAGCTGTTGTAGTAGTGATTTCTGTCTGTCTCTGTATTTTGTAATTTTAAACTTGTCCCTTCCCAGGATATTGAAAAAGAAGTGAGGAAAGAAGTCGATGATGCAATAGCAAAAGCAAAGGTTTGTTGTAATTTCTGCGACTGGTTTTAAAATTATATCATAGATATCTAGATAATTGTACATATTTATCTTCTTTTGCAGGAGAGTCCAATGCCTGATCCTTCTGAACTCTTTACCAATATTTATGTTAAAGGCTTCGGATCTGAGGTATGTTTGACTGAAATCTGAAACTGTGATGCATCTTATATTTTTTATTCTGTTAAGTTGCTCATGCAGTTTAACTTCTCCTTTGGGAGATGTGTTGTTTGAGGTTATTCAAATGCTCTAGTGAGTTTTGCTTCTGTAATGGTCTGCCTAGTACGAGCTAAATTATAGTCAATCTAATGATTAAATCATGCTGTTCCATTCTTTCGTAATCTAGTGTTGTGAGATTACAATGTAGAATACTCAGGGATGAGTAGGAAATCAAAGAGTGATCATTTTTGCATGTTTACGGCATAGTTGGAATTCAATGTCTAAACTTTTGGTTTTATCTTGCAGTCTTTTGGGGCAGATAGGAAAGAAGTTAGAGCCACCCTTCCATGAGGCAGAACTTTCGAGGCAAACTTTTAGAATGCATGTGAAGCAAACAACAATATAAACAATAAAGACTTGGTCGTAGATTCTTTTTTCTGATTTGGCTCACTGGTGGAATCTGTTTCTTCGTTTTGAGCAGGAATGTTTGTTTCCTGCTTTCTTTTTTGACTGTTGGTGGTTGGTTTTGATATCCTGGAATGAAATGCTAGTTTTGCATCTTTACTGGCTCAAATTACTTCTCTGTAAGCATTTTCTTCCTGGTAACCAGTGGTTGTACAAGTTACAGAAATAGATTGCAGAGTCACAGAATGAGTCTCCTTGAGGGAGTCTGAACCGTTTTCTTTCTTGCAACTCGAATGCTATGTCTCAGTATCTCCTGATAGCATCAACATTCCACTCGTGTATTTTCATGTATGAATGAAACACTGCCTAACAATGGAATTGTGTGTCCTCTTTTAACCTGTGGCAAACTGAATAATCTTAATGCACGGAATCCTATGCTGATTTGCTTTTGGATTGGAAGGACCAAGCCGAACAGGGTCAAAGGAAATGTCTCTTAGTTACTAGCATATGTTTACGGGCTACAACTAATTTTGTTAGTCATTCGTGTCTTTTAACTTTAGTTTCTCATGAAAGGGTTAAAGCTCTTTTTCCTTTTTCTTTTCTTTTCTAAATTCAATTTCATAATAATATTGAAGACCCCCATCATATCGCATCCCTCCTTGAATTCGATCAAAGCGTCTCTTGTTAAATCTCTCGATGAAATATCTGTTGTGCAGTGTACTAAGTCTAGTACGCAAGAACTACCATCCTAAATTAACATTTTTATTCAGTTGAATCATGAATGTAAAAGGTTCATTATGCTGTGATTCCTAGTAATTAAGGAGTTGTATCAAATTTTAGCGTCCTAACTTCACAAATCTTTCTGCCAAACGCTGCAGGCATCCACCCTCCAGGGATACACTGACAACAGAAATATGATGGAACTTTTTAACTCTTCTAATTGCTTGCAATAGCTTTACTCGGCGTTGAGCGAGACACATTTGATGAGTTTGAGGTCGTAGGCAAGTACTTCATCCTTTGGTCAACATTGCTTAATGCGACGAAGACGTATTTGGTCAACTGGTCAGGGGGGAGCATTGTTAGATTGGAGAGACGCGAGAGTCAAGTTTGCTTAGTGTTAAAAATACAAGACAAGACAAAAACATACGTCAAAGTTTTTTTTTTTTTTTTTTGGCAATATCAAAGTTTAATTTTGATGACAAGACAAGCGAGAGGACACATATTGGGGGTATTCCTACTCCCAATTCTGTATCACATTTATTCCCTTCTGGGACAAGGGTTGTACGATATGTTAAGCTAATTGATGCGGACCCATAAATTGAAATGTATTAGCACCACCTTCCGACAAGTTTGTTTTGTTGCAGGGCAGATTAGGAGGTTTATCAATGAAATCTCTATGTTCAAGTTTCAATCAAACAAAAGTTCAAGTGACACAACTAAAGGTAGTTGGCCTCGGGAGGGACAATATGTGCATTTTCAAAGAGCTTATTGGCCAACGGCTAAGCAAAAAACATTACTTTCGGAGAATCCTAGACGATGACGCAGTCTGCAGGACCACTGGCAAAAACCATTCCCCACTCACTGTAACTGTATGTCTGTTCATTTCAACCACCTCCCAATAGTATGTCTTAATAATAATTATCATACTAATTATCATCAAGCGTCTGGCTGTAAGCAAATAAAGTAGCTGTTCAGCTGCATTTGGGTGTCCAAAATTCCAAATGCAACGGCATCCACAAATTCACACATTGGCCTGAATTATCCTTTCTGATAGGAAAATGATTAAACTGATGGGTAAAAATTATTTTCTTTTAGCTCATCTATTCATAGGAGTGACTCCAACTAGTCAGTCAGTCTACTACAACTAAAAATGAAACCTAATTGGCAAAAAAAGAAAAAGAAAAAAAAAAAAAACTGCAGTTTTTAAGTTTATTCCCAAAACTGATGGACATTCCCTATGACAAAAGAGGCTCAGTTATATGGTGGTGAAAGCATCAAGCTGTATTTCCTCAATGGCTTCGATGAAGCATACACACACACTTACCAACTGCCATTCATTTCATTCCCTGTCGTCCCCATCCTCAGCATCATACAGTTGGGCTACATGCATCTAATTTGATGGCCGAGGGAGTTCTTCAATGCTTAGCCACTGCAGAGGTAACTTCAACTGTAATGCATAAATGAGGATAATCAACACCTGCAAAAGGGAAAAAAAAGCTCCCACGTCATAGCTCTCCTGAAAACTCAATTAGTGGGGTATTTTATGGCTTTCTACATTTCATATCCATGCATGACAAGAATCTAAGGACAAAGGAGTTCTGCCAGTGGTAATAGCTAAGTTGAGAAAGCTGGCAATCAGATGCAATAGTTATTCTTTCTTTATTGGATCAACTTTTCCCAACTTCAGTATCAATTGGAAGTTCTACGTTGTACCATTGCTCCAGTCAGAAAAACAAACTAAACAATAGTAAGCCAATTTTGTAACATGCACACAGACAGAAGAAAAACTATCAATTAAACATGCCAAATTGTAATGCATAAGATCCTGCTGAAGTAACAAGTAACAACCTAATAGATCTTCAATCAAAAACTGATCTTGCAGTAGATGGACAATCTGTTTCCCACTGAATAGTAAAGCAACACCTCCAGGGAGCCTAATTATGCAAAACACAGAAGATGGATTGTATCTGACCATACTTTATGTTAACTAAAAAGTATGGTTAGCAACATACTACCAATGCATCTCCTTTCCAATAGTCCTTTCCCTGGTTTCTTTTATTGTGGGTGTAAGAATGAAAATCACCTGTCCAGAAATACACCTACTGGTCCTGAATATACATGAAAATCAAATTTTTGCTGCTGTCACCACATGCAACCTAACAGATATCCAGTCACAGGAGAAAAATCACCTGACCAGAAAGACACCTATATTCCAGAACAAAATGTACATGAAAGTCAAATTTATGCTGCTATCACAGCCAGGGAGCCTAATTATGCAAAAAGCAGAAAATATTTATCCAGTCACAGACTAGCAATTTTTCTCGAACAAAGCAATCTATTCTAGGAGAAAAAGGAAAAAAAGGAAACCTCCCACCCAATGTGCAGCAGGATTAGCCTAGCAGTGGAAGCAACAAAGCATAAGCAGATATAGAGGAATCCAGAGAGGTACAATGAGTCCAGCATGACATACATCACGGAATTATGTTGTCAACGTAAAAGAGCATATACAGTTCAATTCAAGCGACACTCAAAAGTCTAGTCTAGGTGACATGTAATTTTGCATATTAATTCCTAAGGAAGTCTCAACATGAGCATTCTTAACACAAAAGCATATGTTATAAAAACCACGTAAAAGGACAAAAATCAACAGATGCAGTCCACACCTATTTATCCTTGTGCAATGATTGGCAAGTCACGCCCTCCTCCAAAAGCAAGTTAATAGCATCCCTTAACCTGAGATAATCATCAACGGTATTGTAAACTTGGTGAGAAATACGCACATATCCAGTCACACGATCACTGTCATTCCCATCTTTGGGGGCCTGGTAATGTATTGGGACCTCCACTCCAAAACGGTTGCGCAGATGAGTTCTCAATCTTGATGCATCCTCATCGCTCAAAACCCTCAGACTTGAAGGCAAACCAACCATAGCCATGCTAGGGCACATGTGAGGAGGTGAACCAAGATGTGTTTCCCAAGCATTGGCCAACATTTCCCCCATTTTCACAACAGCTTCATGGTTCCTATCCCGGATGCCAACAATACCACCTTCAAATCTACTGATAAAATCTAAGACCTCAGGTACAACCAACTGGGAACTGTAATCCCTGGTACCAATCCAGGCGCTCTCGATGGCGAGGCCATTGCCATACTCGTGGGACACCACCGGATGATGCAAATCAGGATCAGGAGATGACTTTCGACAGTATAAGAAAGCAACAGAAGGTGGACAGAAGAACCATTTGTGCAAATTACTGACGTAAAAGTCAGCCCCAATTTGCTTAACATCCACATGGACACTTCCAATTGCATGAGCAGCGTCAACAAAGACCTTCTCGACACCTTCCTCTCTGCATATCTGAACCAATTCCCTCACTGGAATCACAACACAGGGCATGGACGTTATGTGATCTATGATTGCGAGCCTCACTTTCCTGCCGTGGGCTTTACCCTTGGCCAATCCTTTCCGAAACTCTGCAATAATTTCCTGTTCAGAGTGGACAGGAAAAGGCAGCTGGACCACAATGACAGACCCACCTGCTCGAGTGACGTAAGCCTCAATGGACTTCTTGACAGCCTGAAAGGCGCAATGGAGCATGACGACTGCATCACCTTTCTCAAAACGGCCCTCGGCAAAGGCCCACCCAACATGTTGGAGGACGATGGCGGCTGCAGTGGTTGCGTTGTCTACGATGGAGACCTCATCAACGTGGTCAGCATTAATCAGGGACTTAATGAGAGTCCGGGAACGGAGGATTCCTTTCTGGAGGTGATTGAAGAAGAAATCATCAGGTTGCTGGAGGAACCGAAGCTGCCACCGCTTTTGAGCAGCAATAATTGAAGCTGGGCAGCTACCGAAGCTGCCATTGTTAATCCGAGAAATGCCCAGCTGGTGGTGGGCGAACTCCTGATGAATTTCAGAGTCGGAAATGAACTTGGATGAAAGCTTCTGCTTCTTTGAGAGGTGGTTATTGTTGTTATCGTGACTGCGTTCGCCATTGGCGCGAGGGTCTTCCATTTCCTTGGCCAACTTATTTCTTCTTTTGTGTGGAATATCCAATCAGCTTTTTCATTTCCTAAGAAGCATTTCAAACCTGTAAATGTCAAAATCCAATGATTAGTCACTCAAAAGGGACAAACTCTGCTCAGCTAGAGCAGGTGTAAAACTAAGTATAAACTGCTCTTTGCTAACCATCCCTTCCCTTGACAGAGAAAGAATAACTCATATTATGATAAGAAGCCAGATTCAATACTTCAGATTTAATGCACTCTCCCAAGCACTAGTAAGTAGTAACCAACCTAAAGAAGAGGAAATAACAGTCAAACCCTTTGCATGGCCAAAATTTTAAGAATATCTGTTAAGAAACATTGGCAGCGCAAATAAAGTCAATTCACCAAAATCCAGAGCTACTCTCATCACCGCACAGTAAGAAGATATTGATGATTTCCTCAAAGTATTAGTATTTATCTGCTGTCACACCATCTTCATAAACAATCGAGCAACAGAATCTGTTTCCAAGAACTGCATACAAGACAGTTAATCTAAACGGTTGAAGTAGAAGAACGCTCTAATTTCCCGTCAGCATATTACAGTAGCCATTATGCCTCTAAAAAGCTGGTGCCAATATAAAACAGTAGGCAACATTTCTGTTTTTCATTTGAAGACGGAGTATGAACCAACATTCTAATCATAAAACCAAAGCCCTGGAAGCAAAAGTCAGTAACAAGCAATGCTGCAGACATAAAATTTTCAATTCATTTTAAGGACTGAGATTTGTACCATCATTCCCGCATAATCAATTAAGGGCTTGCATTTGATTGAAAAGCCTCTGTTGTGAATGAGATTATTACTATCATAATCAATGAATAGCAAAGTCTAGGACAAATACATGTCGAATGTTCCAATTTGAAGGAAACGTAGCGAATACACGATAAATTATCAGCTACAAAATCAGCATCCTAAATAAGTGCTCATTTCAACTGAATATAAACGAAAAATTTCAGAGATAAAAATCAGAACGACTGAAACAATAGTTTTTACCCGCATAGAATTTCAAAATCGACGGAGATGCGCTTCGATTGGAGCGTCAGATAGTTCGGCCGACATCGGCGGCTTCGAGTGACGAGGGAACGTCCAAGGTAGGTAAAGATGCAACCTACCCTTTATCTCTTAAATTATTAATCTAATCACCAATTAGGGAAGAGCGCACGGTAAATCGGACGGATTATCCCTCTTCTTAATCGACAAAGAATGACGTTAATGGATTATGGGGTTTGTAAATCCGGCGAAAAAAAAAAAAAAAAGATAAACAGAACCGGAGAAAATCGGGGATGAAAGGGGCTCCGTCAACTGCATAAAGGAGTGTAGGACTTTTTTGCGTAAATTGTTAAATGACCCTGGATTTCATTTAAAGTTTGTAAAATACCGCATAAAATATCATTTATGGCAATTAACTATCTATAATTTTCTACAATAAGAAAAAACCGAGTACCCAAGCCAATTGTATGAATTACTGTTTGAATAATAATGCATGACAACGCATAAAAGATTTTGTGTTGCACTCTTTGTAAAGTGTTTTGAGTCACTTGTCATATGGAATTCATTTACCATTTAACGGGTGTTAAAGATTAATTATTTAAATACATTAGCATGCATTACGGAAAGTGCAACAAAATATTACAGAAAATCCTAAACCTATGTTAACAAATCTATACAACAATTTGCTATTTCTTAGATAGATAGATGTAGAAATGTCATAATCTAGCTAATTTAGTCTTATCTAACAAGTGCACAAAGTTAGGAAAATTATACCTGGTTAGATAAGTCATTTAAGGCAGATTGTATTAGCTGAGTATGCATTACTTTACCTCTTTTCTTTTATTTTAGAAATGAATATCACTTTTGACGGAAGAAAAAAAATATATAGACATGTGTCGTGGCTCAAAAAGTGAACCCATAGTATTTCAACGATAATACTTTAAAATGGCGTAATTGTTAGTACAAATTAGTAAAACATTTACGCAAATTCATTGAACTACTTAATAATGAGCGTAACAGAAAAATATCATGAAAACTACTTTAGCCACAGTTAAAAAGAAAAAAAAATATCGGTACAATCGTTTGGGACCTTTGGGGTACAGAAAACTATTTTATTCCTTCATGGCCGGTGGTGGGCAGAGTATATATGAAAAAACATAATGTGGACCCAAAAAATGGAAAATATGTTTAGCACTAACTTCCGATAGGTTTTGGACTTTAGTTGCAGAGCAGATTAGCAGTTTATTGATGAAATCTGTGTGTCGACCTTTTGTTAAATTCATAATTAATACCAGTTGATGGTTAGTTAGCATTTTTATAAAGGATAACTCTCTCTTCTTTCTCACTCTAAGGATAACTCTCCAAAACAGTAACTAGATAACAGTAACCTCCCTAAATGTCCAATCCAGATAGACACGGAGATGGCGGAAATGCTCCCTACCAATCACGATAAGGATAACCCAGCAATAACCAAAGTCAAAAACCGCGATCCCCAAACCCCTGCCTCACCCCAAGTCAACCAACATCCAATCCCAGTTGAGGGCATGCCTTCTTTCAAAGATAGGCTTCTCCAAAACCAACTTAGTCAATTCACAAATGGTTTCCACATGAGTACTGTTATCATGGAAGATGGAAATGTAACTTATGGAATGGAAGATGGAGTCCCTTCAACTCGTTTCTTCGACAGGGTCCAGGATCAAATGAAAACTGCAATGACTTATACCCTTGTAGTTAAACCACTGGGAATCAAAATTCGACGAGACAAGCTTCACAAGAGACTCAAGAGGCTCTGGAAAATCAAGGGGGACATCAAGCCAGTTGACACAATAGATGGATATCACTTTTTGAGTCTCACAACCGAAAGAGGACTACTACATAGCCCTGCTCAATGGAGCATGGTTCCTGGATGAGCACTACGTCATTGCCCTTCCTTGGAAAGATGAGTTCAATACCAAAGAAGAAAACATCACTGATGTGCCCACTTGGATCAGGATTCCTGGACTCCCAGTAAAATATTTCCACATTGATCTCATCAGAAGTATAGCAAAACCTTTGGGGAAATTCATAAAAGCAGACAAGAGCACAATCATAGTCGAGAGAGGACAATTCGCTAGAATTGCTATTGAATTGGATCTTACCATCCCCTCAACGGAAAAACTAAAATCGATGGTAAAGATTACAATGTTGAGTATGAAGACCTCCAGCTAATTTGCTACTCCTGTGGACGATACGGGCACCTCCGAAATGACTGTAAGGATTTTCCAGCAAACCCATTACCGGAACAAAACGGAGCTCCAGAGGCTAGCCGACCGGGACCACTAGCAAACAACAACCAATCGAACGTGCAGACGGAAGGCCCAACAGTCAATACCTCGGGTACACAAGCTGCACAAAATCCAATAATCCAGCAACGGCTTTGCGAATAGAGCCACACGCCTAGAAGGAGTAGACGATACCCAGCAAATCCATGGACTGCCTGGAACAAAACGGCACCATCCAGTGCATCCTTAGGCGTTCAGCGTAACCCCTTCACGGCTCTCGTGGACATGAATCCAGAACCCATCAACAAAGCTTCCATATCGAGTTCCAAGTCGTTTCCTGGCAACAGACCACCACTACAGACCTCTTTTGATTGGAACAATAAATGTCTTCAATCCTCCCAAGGAAACCCCAAAACACCCAGCAAAAATAAGCCGCCCCAACTCCAAAGGACCAAACCACTTCCAATGGCCCAAACAAAAAGAAGCCCGAAACTCTAGGAAGGGATAAAGTCTGGTCAATGGAATCATCCAAGAATGTCCCAAACCCAATATCCCAGTCCCCACAAAATAAGCCTACCCCAAACACTACAACCCTTCCCACAAGCAAGCCCAAAACAGTAAACCTACCACAAGAATCCACCCAAATCACCATACTGGACCATAATGTACCCAAACACACAGCCAGTTCCCTCCCACACCCAAACCTTCCACCCTCCAAAACACCAATAGTACAAAGCAAAAATTCACCCCATATGGAACCAGTAAAAGATCCACCAGCCTCCCTTAAGCCACCCGACCCAACCCAAGGCTTCCATTTAAAGCCCAAAGTCAAAATTCAGCCACCGGATACAAACAAGACTACAGTATTACATGATGATGCAATGTTGTACAATGATGAAATGATGTATAATGATGAACAGGAAATCACGAATGAAACTATGCTAGATGGTACAACATCTACTGCTCTGATCCCTACGCATGATGACGAGATGCTTTCGGATGCCGGAGCTGTCCCTGAAAGGTAAGCCTCCTAAACCTTCACATATTTTATATATGAATCATCGCATCATGTCATGGAATGTGCAAGGTATTGCCAATGAAACAACTATCTCAGTCTTAAAAGATTTACTCAAAACCTATAATATACATATACTAATCCTGCTGGAACCCAAAATCAATGGGAATTTAGCTGAGGAAATAATTAAATCAACTGGTTTCCAAAATCCGCACATAATAGAGTCTGTAGGTTTTGAAGGAGGAATATGGTTACTCTGCCACGATCCAATCAAAATAACAGTCATCGAAAATGACTGGCAATTTATTCACTGCAAAGACTACTTTCAAGACAACTCTCTTTGTTACATCACCGCAGTGTACGGTAGTCCCCAAAGACTAACAAGGCGTACACTGTGGGAGAATCTTGACCGTATTTCAGGTAACACTACAGAGCCATGGATTATTCTTGGAGACTTTAATGCCATAACTGATGAATCGGATAAGACAGGGGGACGATGAACCAAAGGTTGTAAAAGATTCTTATCGTGGATCCAAGACTCCGGCATGATCGATCTAGGCTTTCTAGGCACGAGGTTCACTTGGAAGAGAAGAGCTTGCATGTACGTTTGGATCGAGCTCTTGCTAACTCAAAATGGAGAGACAGCTTCATAAATACCACGGTTCAACACCTTCTAAGGCTGTCCTCTGACCATTCACCAATCATAGTCCAATTCACCAGAAACAACTCCCCAGAAGCTGAAACAAAACTTCAGGTACCTTTTGGCATGGGAGGAACATAGTAATGGCAAAACTGGCTCCTTAAAATCTGGCCGACAGGGTTAGAACTCCCAGATGCACTAGGCACCCTCTTACAAAACATAGAGGATTGGCAGTTCAATATCTTCGGCGACATGTACAAAAGAAAAAAAAGATAATAGCAAGGATATGAGGTATTCAGAGGGCACTAGCAATGCATCATTCCGATAATCTAGAAGCACTAGAAAAAGAGCTAAGACTCGAATACGAGAGAACAACTACTCAGGAAGCAATACTGCAAGCTCAGCACTCTAGATCGTTGTGGATACTCGAAGGAGACAGAAACACGAAGGCTTTTCACTCAATCCACAGAACGAAGAGCTGAGGGAGAACAACCACAGAAATGTAACTGGAAAGTGGTATTTGGTGCTCTAATCAAAATACACTAAGACAAGAGGCAACCAGGTACTTCAGAGACATATATTCTCAAACAACAAACTCAAATGGAAAATACCACATTGTTGAAAATTTTTCCACCATACCTCCTAGAATGGAACGACAGCTATCTGGCCCACTCTCAGATGAAGAAGTTAAAACGGCGGTCTTCGAAATGGACCCTTCTAAAGCCAATGGTGTCAACAGCTTCGTAGCAAACTTCTACCAAAAGAATTGGAATGTTGTAGCTGAAAGTACATGCCAAATGGTCAGAAAAGCATTCTCAACAGGCCAAATTAACCAGAAATAAACAAAGGTATGGTAGTACTAATTCCGAAAGTAAACCCACCCGACGTCTCCGTGAAGATTATCCCACAAACTCTCAGCAACATCATACTCAGTTCTGTACTATCCTTGAAGTTTAATGTGTTAGGTTATGCATTATTTTTTTACTATTAAGTTAGATTCACATAATTTTACTTTAATATATTAAATATATATATATGGGAAACTCTAGTATTCTAGAATGGGGAACCATTGAATTGTCACAAGCAAGAACTGTCCAAAGTGTAGAATTTATTAGTTGTTTAAATTTATAAAACAATATAAATAACAATAATGAAATAAATGGAAACTTGAAAGAGTAGTGGGCCGTGAAGGAAAAAAAAAGAAGTAAATTTAGGCTAGATACATTCTCAAAGCTCCTGTAAGCAGCAGTGGGCAGTTTCGGTAAATTAATCATAATTTGTTATAGGAAATTTCAAATTTCAATCTGATTGTTGCGTATTAAACTAGACTCGGA